ATATCATTAATATTGATCGGTGCGACAAGCTTCGTATTATATAAAATATTACTTCTTTGACGTCCCTATAGTTTCGAATTTCGATGTTACAAAAAAAATCTCCGACTAATAATAAATGGAGATCTAACGTAATGTTTCGGGCCTAATAAGCCCATTTTGGATGAGGCCCTTTACAAAATTTAGTTTCAAAAAAAAAAAACAAATCTCCCAGTAAAATAAAACGAAGACGAAACAATATTTAATAATGGAAAAGGCGCAGAAGCGAGTCACGTACTCTCGATTTGATGAATTTTCTTTCTTCTCTCACTAAAGAACGAAAGTCTCTCTCTCTCTCTCTCTCTCTCTCTCTCTCTTTCTCTCTCTCTTTCTTTCTCCCACCGATGGCGTACGCTCTTCTCCTCCTCCTCCTCCTCATCCGCGTCCTCGCCGTCACCGAATCTTCCGTCACCACTGCGGCCTCAAGAAGAATGGAAGATAGCGCATTTGAGTTTGTCCAATCGATGACGGCAACGTGTAGAGATCCCCGATGGTCTCCTCGCGCAACGACTTTGAGAGAGACGGGAGGAAACACGTGGAAGAATCTTGGAACTTCTTTGGTCCCTCCTCTAACCGCCGTCTACGCAGAGCTTCCACCGAAGAACGTCTTTGAAGATTGGTCGGGTGCATTTATCGGAGCAGATAAGGAGAAGTATCCGATGACTCTCTTTCTTCCCTTCTCCAAAGAACCCTCACCGTCTCCGACTAATAAAATCGTCGCAGCCTACCACATAGTACCACAAAAACTTCTTCTCGCCGACTTGCTCTCCAAGGCAGTGAACAACTCCCGTCTCCCAACCCTACTCCCAGGAACCTCCATCGTCGTCAAGTTCAATTCACGTTACGGCCGTTTTACGCTTGAACTTGACGGTGTTCCGGTAACGAAGCCTGAACTGTTCGTATCTGAGTTCATTGTTATTCACGGGATTGCATCTCCACTAGATTTCACTCGCAACGGTGGGTTTGGCGGCGGCGAGATCGGTTCTTTCTCGTTTCTGGTTTTAACTTCCCTAATCGCTCTTTTCGCTTTCTTTCAAATCTTGGGGATGTTCCGTAATCTTTTTCATTCTTGGGGGCTCTTTTTTTTCCGTTTTTTGTTGGTGTAATTGAACCAAGTTAAATCATTTTGCGAATTAAGATGTAATAAGGATGAATATTATCAATAACGATCGACATTTGGAGTAGTATACGCTCTTACTATTTCATAAGCTTTGATAATTATTCTAGATTTAAATGTCAATTTCCCCCGTAACATTGAATCACAACTCAAATAGTGAAAGAGAATATTACAGAAAAAAATTAGTATATATGTTTAACCATGACCAAACAACTTTGAGGCTAAGAAAATTAAGATTGATAAGACGTCATCATGCTTTCAGAATATATATTGCCATTTATTTGGAAACTTTTATGTCAAGTTTTTTTTTTATTTTTTTTAATCACTTTTCACACTCAAATTACCGCTAGCTCATAATAAGTTGCTTAAGTTGGAAGATCAATCCTCTTCCAATTGCAGGAAAAAAGAGCATAAACAAATCACCGTGCGCTTGTGATTTCTTTCATATATATTCATAAAGGCAAAATAAGAATTATAAAAATTGTTTCTTGTCTTCGGTTACAAAGGGGAAAAAAAAATTATTGTTTAACTAACATCTATGATTATACAATTCATATTTTCCGATCACAATTATTTAGTAACTTTTTCTTTATTTCAAATAATTTTAGTAGTTAAAATATTGTCTCTTCCTCAATACAAAAACCTTTTGAGAACATGGAATAAAAGAAAAAAAGATAAAACAGGGAGTAAAAGAGGATAAAATAAGGCTTCAAACCAAAACGAAAGAACTAGAAAAAACCTAATTGGGAAACTAGGTCTAGAATTAAAAACCAATGGAGGAACTAAACCCTTTGCAGCTTCTGGACTGAGGCCATATGTCATGTACTTGAGGAGATTTTCACCCTCAGATTTACGACAAAAATCATACATCAAGTGCGTCAAGAGATTTGTGCCCTCACGACAGTAATCATAGTGTTTAGGCCACAATTCACCTTGAACCTTGTTCCGCAAGTCATTGTATAGAAAAGGGTTTCCTGAAATTTTACTCTTCCGCCACTCGTCCCAAAGGTCAACAAAATCCTGAGCTTTCTCTGAAAGAAACAAAGACCGGTCCAAGTAATTCGTAGATTTCCAGAGCGGGTACTTCTCGTCTGCTTGGCGTTGCAAATTTTCCATCTTCCGTACAAACATACGGAAATATTTAATCTCTGAGTCATGTGGCCTCCTTAGTAAATATGTTCCGTCTTCCCCGAGCTTATCGGTAAACACAAGTTGGATATCTCTTGCGGTGGATGATTCAACCATAAGGAGTAAGAAGAAGAAGAGGGAGACGAACTTTATGGCCGTAGACATAGTTGGATATCAACTAGAGATTTTTAAGTTTCTGTATGAATGATGGTAGCTAGAGAGGTTTGTGTTTATTATATATATAGAGCTTCTCCACTCCTTGTTTTTTATATTTTCAATTGGGATTAGGCTTACAACTCCTGACTAATTAAGTTTGGCCAACTCATGTTGGGAGATTCTCATGTTTGGAGATCTCTCGTATATATCAACTCATTTACTTAATTATTAATAATTTTATCTTAAAGCATAATTAAGAAAATAGTTTTAATACAAGATACGTAACTGAATTATGCTATTCGCTAGCACATGTTAAATAAATTGGATTAAAAATATCGAGAAGGAAAAAACAGAAGAAATCGATTAAAAAAAATGTATTTCAGAAATAGGGAAAAAGAAACAAATCAAGGAACTAAACCAAGCCAGCTTCTCGACTGAGGCCAAGTCGGATTATTAAGAACAAGTATATGAAAAGCTCGAAAGAGAGGAAGATGAAAAGCTCGAAAGAGATTAAGAGAGGAAGACAACAAAAAGACTTTAGAGATTACTGTACCTTGTAAATTCCCTTTATTACAAGTACTTCTAACTTTACAACTGCAATACTTTACTGAATAATCGTAACATCGTGGAACATGTGCATTCAGCTGGTTGTGTAGGACAAACAGTCAACTTCTAGGCAAATGTGTCCTAACAATCCATCCACCGTTCTCCTTACAATGGCTTGGTACTCCAAAAGTGTACCATTCGGATCACTATTTTCAACTTGACAATGGTTGGATAGTGTTACTTTTAGTCTGGAATTTTCGGTCTGCACCATCAAGGATGCATGCAACTTCCGGAGCAAAATCTTTGCAAAGAGAGTTGTTGGATGTGTCCATGGCCTCCAATGTTATATAGTACTGAAGCAACTTACCAAGCATATCACTGTTGTATTTGTTTATACAAATCAATTTAAGATTGGTTCCCTACCAGATCAAAAAGCTAAATGTTGAGCTAAGCACAGGAGAAAAAATAAAGAGACAAAGAACAGCACTTAAGCAAAGCAAGACCATCCAATAATCCATATCATGAAAGTATTGTTGTTACTTTTTGAAGATTATAACAGTGAAGTCCAAGTCTAGCTACCAAGAAGACTATTGTCATATGCGGGTCATATGAATAAATTGATCATACTTTATCTTTCAATGTAGGGAAATATTCCACCAAACGGAAGACGAATGTGATCAATACCGAAACCCTGTTCCATCGTAATAAAAAAAAAAAAAAAAGTTTAGCTAGAAGATTTGAATAGACATGAATCAGACGATCCAATGATCCATATTGAAAACAACGTAGGTAACGAGGTCTCAAAGCTTACGACCAAACAAAATTGCTATATATCTAGATGAACTAATTCAATCTAACTATGAGTCTACTACAGTAGAAGTTCACTCAGGGCATGGTTGAAGTTAGAAAAACGTAATCGAAAATTAAAACAATTCAGATCGAAGCTAAGGAAAAGGTAAAGCTGGAGAGATCCACGTCAGACTCAAGAACTTGGGAGCCAAGATTGCAAACTCAGTCATTCTCCAAAACCCTAATCTCTGCGATCCTCTGAGTTTTCTTGTTTGGCAGATCCGTTTTGATTATAACAAATTGATATTGCATTCGGTTTTATTATCATCATTGTGAATCACCTTGTTGAGAGAAAAAGGAAACAACTGAACTCGTCAGCTTAACAAAAGGCGAAACAACAAACGAACGTATCCTTATTTTTTATATTTGCAAATTAAGATGTACTGTAATAAGGATTAAAATTATCAATTACGATCGAGTTTATTGTTACTTTTATTTTTTGGTTTTAATGTGTAGAATTACGACCGACTTTGGCAGTTTGGCTTCGAACGGTATATATATTATCTTCGAATTGTGTAGTTTGCTGTAAGTATGTAACAGAAACTTTTATTTGGCATAAATAATTGTTGTCATAGAAACTTTTATTCCATACAAATTTAAGAGCAACAAAACTGAACTTTGAAAATTTTTAGTATATAATCTTCTTACATTAATATATTTTGAAAACTATCCGCAGATACGGTTCACTCTTAGTTGAGTTTGAAATTGAATACTTATTGAAATTACTAGTTTTAGTATGTTTGTGAAGGTAACCATTTAATATTTAACCATGACCAAACAACTTTGAGGCTAAGAAAATATTGATAAGACGTTTATTTTGGATTTATCACTTTTCACACTCAAATTACCGTCACCACTAGCTCATAATAAGTTGTTTCAATTCGAAGATCAATCGCAGGAACAAAGAGCATAAACAAATCAACCGTGCGTCCGTGCGCTTGCGATTTCTTTCTTATATTCATAAAGGGAAAATAAGAGTTATAAAAATTGTTTCTTGACGGAAAAAAAAAAAAAAAATTGTTTTTCTTGTTTTCGGTTACAAAGGGAAAATAAAAGTGTTCTTGTTCAGCTAACATCTATGATTACAATTCATATTTTCCGATCACAATTAGTTAGTATCTTTTTCTTTATTTCAAATAATTTTAGTTGTTAAAATATTGTCTCTTCCTCAATACAAAAACCTTTTGAGAACATGGAATAAAAGAAAAAAAGATAAAACAGGGAGTAAAAGAGGATAAAATAAGGCTTCAAACCAAAACGAAAGAACTAGAAAACACCTAACTGGGAAACCGGGACTAGAATAAATAGACGATGGAGGAACTAAACCCTTTGCAGCTTCTGGACTGAGGCCATATGTCATGTACCTGAGGAGATTTTCACCCTCAGATTTACGACAAAAATCATACATCAAGTGCGTCAAGAGATTTGTGCCCTCAGATTGACGGCAGTAATCATAGTGATTAGGCCACAATTCACCTTGAACCTTGTTCCGCAAGCCATTGTATAGATAAGGGTTTCCTGAAATTTTACTCTTCCGCTCCTCGTCCCAAAGGTCAACAAAATCCTGAGCTTTCTCTAAAAGAAACAAAGACCGGTTCAAATAATTTGTAGATCTCCAGAGCGGGTACTTCTCGTCTGCTTCGCGTTGCAAATCTTCTATCTCCCAAGCAAACATATGGAAATAATCAATCTCTGAGTCATGTGGCCTCCTTAGTAAATATGTTCCGTCTTCCCCGAGCTTATCGGTAAACACAAGTTGGATATCTCTTGCGGTGGATGATTCAACCATAAGGAGTAAGAAGAAGAAGAGGGAGACGAACTTTATGGCCGTAGACATAGTTGGATATCAACTAGAGATTTTTAAGTTTCTGTATGAATGATGGTAGCTAGAGAGGTTTGTGTTTATTATATATATAGAGCTTCTCCACTCTTTTTTTTTTATATTTTCAATTGGGATTAGGCTTACAACTCCTGACTAATTAAGTTTGGCCAACTCATGTTGGGAGATTCTCATGTTAGGAGATCTCTCGTATATATCAACTCATTTACTTAATTATTAATAATTTTATCTTAAAGCATAATTAAGAAAATAGTTTTACAAGATAACTGAATTATGCTATTCGCTAGCACATGTTAAATAAATTGGATTAAAAATATCGTGAAGGAAAAAACAGAAGAAATCGATATATTTCAGAAATAGGGATCCTAGAAGAAAGAAACAAAAAAAAAATTAAGGAACTAAACCAAGCCAGCTTCTGGACTTAGGCCATATGTCCACACTTGTTTTGATTGGTGTAGCATTATTAATAACAAGTATGTCAAGTAATAACAAGTAGGTGAACAGCTCGAAAGAGATTAAGAGAGGAAGACGAAAAGACTTCAAGAGAATACTGTGTACCTTGTAAATTCCCTTTATTACAAGTACTTTAAACTTTACTTTACAACTGTTATTCTTTACTGAATAATCGTAACATCGTGGAACATGTGCATTCAACTGATTGTGTAGGACAAACAGTCAACTTCTAGGCAAACGTGTCCAAACAACCCATCCATCGTTCTCCTGACAATGGCTTGGTACTCCACAAGACCACAAGTGTACCACTCGGATCACAGATCACTATTGTCGTTGAAACTTATGTACAAGATTGCATTGTTGGCCTTCAAAACCATATGCAGTGATGCTTATCCATTTGAGATTGTACAACTATCTTCTTCAGCTCCAGTGGTTAAGAAGGTCTCATGTCATTCTACAAGAACACAAAAAACTCAAGTTATGATAAGAAAATATAACCCATCGATGTCACCATGAAGCCACATGAGTAAAAGAACCTACCGCATATGCAAACCACTTCGAGTAAAAAGCAAATTCATTGTGAAGCCACTCAAGTCCTTCCAAGTCTGATTCTTGCAACTGTGAACCCATAAAAGATCGTTAATCAGATAATCATGTGTCAAACACAATTATTAACCAAATGAAGCAAAAACTAGCATAAATACCTCATAAAACTAACCCTTTATTGCTGATTGCAGCCTTCTCATCTCCTGGCAACCAGTTGGGTATTTTACCTTTGTAGACATCATCTATTGCATCGTCTTTCCATCTCCTTTGAGGTCCAATGGGAGTAGTCCGAGGGCCACTAGGAACTAATAGCCAGAACTTCTAAACTACTATAAAAAGTATATAAACTTGACAAAGGTTGGATAGTGTTACTTTAGTCTGGAAATTTCGGTCTGCACCATCAGGGATGCATGCAACTTCCGGAGAAAAATCTTTGCAAAGAGAGTTGTTGGATGTGTCCATCGCCTCCAATGTTATGTAGTACTGAAGCAACTTACCAAGCATACTGTTGTATTTGTTTATACAAATCAATTTGAGATTGGTTCCCTACAAGATCAAAAAGCTAAATGTTGACAAAGCACAGGAGAACACATAAAGAGACAAAGAACAGTACTTAAGCAAAACAAGACCATCCAATAATCCATATAGAAAACAACGTAACGAGGTCTCAAAGCTTACGACCAAAAAAAAATTGGTATATATCTAGATGAACTAACCTAGATTTCAATCTAACTCTATGAGTCCACTACATACAGTAGAAGTGCACTCAGGGCATGGTTGATGTTAGACAAACGTAATCGAAAATTAAAACAATTCAGATCGAAGCTAAGGAAAGAGTAAAGCTGGAGAGATCCAAGAACTTGTCGCTCGTACTCCTCTCTACCGTTGAATCGATATAATTGTAGTCAACCTGAACGGCGGAAGCTGAGATTTTACGTTGCAGCGGTTTATCTCCAAACTTGGGAGCCAAGATTGCAAACTCAGTCATTCTCCTAAACCCTAATCTCTGCAATCCTCTGAGTTTTCTTGTTTGGCAGATCCGTTTTGATTATAACAAATTGATATTGCATTCGGTTTTACCATCATCCTTGTGAATCACCTTGTTGAGAGAAAAAGGAAACAACTAAACTCGTCAGCTACACAAAAGGAAACAACAATGTTACCAAAAAAAAAAAGGAAAGAACAATGTTACCAAATTATAAGGATACAACAAACGAACGTTTCCTTATTTTTTATATTTGCAAATTTAGATGTAATAAGGATGTATTTTGGTTTTAATGTGAAGAATTACGATCGACTTTGGCTTTGAACGGTATATATATTATCTTCGAATTGTGTAGTTTGCTCTAAGCATGTAACCGAAACTTTTATTTGGCATAAATAATTGTTTTCATCTAAGCTATAAACTTTTATTCCATACCAATTTAAGAGCAACAAAATTGAACTTTGGAAATTTAATTTAATTTTTTTTAGTATATAATCTTCTTACATTAATATATTTTGAAAATGAATACTAACTGAAATTACAGTAAAACCTCTATAAATTAATAATGTTGGGACCACAAGATTTTATTAATTTATAGTGATATTAATTTATCTATAAATTAATAAATATTAATTTATAGTGTAAATTAATAATTATTAATTTATAGTAGTATTTTTAACTCTTAAAGCTTTTTGAAAATATGAATTGGGACAATTTTAAAAACTAAGATTCGTTTTAAAATTATATGAATGTTTGTAGTTTAGAATTAAATTATATATTTAGAAAAATAACTTAACAATAAATTAAAAATATATAAATATATATAGTTAAATACAAAAAAAAATCAAATATATGATTAAAACCTCAATCGTTATCTTTTAACATTCTATAAAACAAAACAAAAAATGAATATGATGCGTTTATATAAATAGAAAACATAAAGAAAATTTTGGTTATTTTGTGAGATTATGGAATATATTCTAAGATTATAGTTTAAAAATATAACATAAGTATTATTTATAGAGATGAGGTCTAGGAGAAAAAATCATTTTTACAAAAAGAGGTAAAAACATATTTTAACATATCTACGTATATATATATGTATATATATAGTGATTATTAATTTATGATATTATTGGGACTATATTTTACATAGGGATGTCAAAAAAATTATTATCTTATTATCTTATCAAATTTAGGTAATTTTTACACTGGCCCGACTAGGGACCAGCAAAATTTATTAATTTATAGTGTTTATTAATTTATAGAGTATTAATTTATAGAGGTTTTACTGTACTAGTTTTAATTAATATGTTTGTGAAATTACTAGAATCTGAATATAATTTTGCCTAAATTGTCTCAATTCGAAGATCAATCGCAGGAACAAAGAGCTAAAGGAAAAGTAAATTATGAAAATTGTTTCTTGTTTTCAGTTACGAAGGAAAAAAAAAAAAGTTCTTGTTCAACTAACATCTATGGTTTATCAAAAAAAAAAAAAACTAACATCTATGATTACAATTTATATTTTCCGATCACATTTAGTTAGTATTTTTTCGTTATTTCAAATAATTTTAGTTGTTAAAATTTTGTCTCTTCCTCAATACAAAAAAACTTTGGAAACAAGGAACAAGGGAAAAAAAGATAAAACAGAAAATAAAAGAGGAAAAAATAAGCCTCCAAACCAAAACGAAAGAACTAGAAAAAACCTAATTGGGAAACCGGGACTAGAATAAATAAACTTTGGAGGAACTAAACCATTTGAAGCTTCTGGAGTGAGGCCATATGTCATGTACTTGATAAGATTTTCACCCTCAGATTTACGACAAAAATCATACATCAAGTGCGTCAAGATATTTGTGCCGTCGGACTGACGACAGTAATCATAGTGTTTAGGCCACAATTCACTTTGAACCTTGTTCCGCAAGTCAAGATATATATAAGGGTTTCGTAAAATTTTACTCTTCCGCTCCTCGTCCCAAAGGTCAACAAAATCCTGAGCTTTCTCTGAAAGAAACAAAGACCGATTCAAGTAATTTGTAGATCTCCAGAGCGGGTACTTCTCGTCTGCTTCGCGTTGCAAATATTCCATCTCCCGTACAAACATACGGAAATAATCAATCTCTGAGTCATGTGGCGTCCTATAGATATATCTTGCGGTGGGTGATTCAACCAAAAGGAAGAAGAAGAAGAAGAGAGTGAAGAACTTTATGGCCGTAGACATAGTTGGATATCAACTAGAGCTTTTAAAGTTTCTGTATGATGATGGTAGAGAGGTTTGTGTTTATTATTTAGAGCTTCTCCACTACTTTTTTTTATTTTTATATATTTTCAATTGCGATTAGGCTTCAACTCTTGACTAATTAAGTTTGGCCAACTCATGTTAGGAGATCTTTCGTATATATCAACTCATTTATTAATAATTTTATATTAAAGCATAATTTAAGAGAATATTTTTACAAGATAACTGGATTATGCTATTTGCTAGCACATGTGAAATAAATTGGATTAGAAATCGAGAAGGAAAACAGAAGAAATCGATTAAGAAAAAAAAAATACTTTAGAGAATATTTCAGAAATAGGGACGAGAAGAAAGAAAGAAACAAATGAACTAAACCAAGCCAGCTTCTGGTCTGAGGCCATATGTCCATACTTGTTTTGATCGGTGTCGGATTATTAAGAACAAGTAAATGACAAGCTCGAAAGAGATTAAGAGAGGAATACTGTAAATTCCCTAGTATTACAATTTACAAGTATTTTTAACTTTACATTACGATTTTTTTTTTTTCAAAAATATACATGAGAAGAATTGATCATTCATTTTATTTTTATTTTTTTTTGTCAAAAAGAATTGATCAATTATTATTTATTTTATTGTAGGATGAAAAATGAAAAATTAACAACTCTCTGACAACGTAACAATGATTTTTTGAAAATCTTTCACTCGTTGAGGATCACCATGTTAATAAGGGATTTTGGCAGCAATAACCCAAAAAAAAAATTGTAATTACTCAATAACTAGTCTAACCATGAATCTATCATGTATACTCTATATTCTCACCAAAAAAAAATAAAATCGTATACTCTATATTATATGTATTAATGACCAAAATGTCCATGTTATTGCATGATTAATATATAGTTTGTCCCTAATAATAACTAGCCACAAATAAACTTCCATGCTTATCACGTGTGTATCATTCTAGTGCATTTGCATGTATATATATATATGAGTAACCTAAGGGGAGATAAATCATATCACACAAAGGGTAATTAATTAAGAGAGAGATAAAGATAGAGAAAAGAAGAAGTTATGGGATACTTCTTGATAGGTTTTCTTGTGGTTATCTTGTCCTTGGGAAATGTCATTGAAGAAGCAAATGGTGAAATACCTCGAACCATTTTGGGCAAAATAGAGAAGATGAATCAAAAGGGTCCTTATTTGGGGATTGTTGCTCCAAACAACTTTGAGCTTAACCCTCTTCTCGAATCTCAATCCTATGTACCATTTTCTTCTTTGCCTTTCATCGATTTCGCAGGTTAATATATTCTTTTTTTTTTATGTCTTTCGTTTTGAAAACATATATGAACAATGTTATTAGCAATCGGAAAACTTCAAAATAACAAGACATATCTCTCACGCTTTTTTCTTTTCTTATCTCAATCATGTAGGTCGAAAATTCCGTTTTGGAAAATTAGCAGGTCAACCTGTGGTGATCGTAATGTCAGGGTTAGGAATGGTACGTACGTTTTCTATATGTAGAAATAGTCTAATTATATTATATATATATATATATATATAATAAACGTTCATTATATAAAACAGGTGAATGCAGGAGTAACAACACAATTACTAGTGAGCCTGTTTAAGCTGAAAGGAGTTTTGCATTATGGAATCGCTGGAAATGCAGATGTAAACCTTGAGATCGGTGACGTTACTATTCCTCAATATTGGGCACACTCTGGCCTTTGGAATTGGCAGGTACGTAGCGTACGTAGGGTTTATATTGACTATGACCATTAATACCAACCATTTGCAATTAAAAAAAAAATAGTAAGAGAATAACAACCAATTATGTTGAGACTTTTTATATTACTAAATCGAGCTTGACTAGAGAGAACCAAAACGATTTACGACACTTGTGGTCGTAAACTTATTGGCCCACGTACTATGTTATCTTAATAACAATCGTTAATTAGGTTGGTCGTCATTGGTGGTACAATTGGATATAGATGTACAATCGCACGAATTATATTGATGGTTGCATACATAACAATAAATAACTAGGTTTTACGATACATTTGATCAAACGCAGAGGTATGGAGATGGGATAGACAACGAACTGGCTCTTGAATCTGGTGGAGACTATACTAGGGATGTTGGTTATCTCCAGTTTTCTAAATACAGTAACCGAACGGATAACTTGCTTAATCGGATTTGGTACCAACCGGAAGAGATCTTTCCGGTCACCGGAATTCCTGAAGAGCGGCAACATGTGTTTTGGATTCCCGTTGACAAGTACTATTTGAATCTTGCACGCAAACTCGAGGTTTGACTAAACTCTCCCATAATGTAGATTTTTTCGTTCGTTGATAGTATAACATACTCCAAGTTGAATCTAGTTTCGGAATATATTTTCAATACGTTACGTATCAAGATCTCTGATGAGTACATTTTCAATAATAAGTGTCAAAACGACTTATAAACAAAAATAAGTGAAACATTTATATTAATTAATTTCCTCGGAATTTAATACTCTTTTAGCAGAAGCATATATATATAAATTCGAACATGTGCGTAGAATTGTAGATACAGTGTACACGTACTATATATATAGTATAGTCCTTTAGATTTGTTATCTTTATTTCATTTTGTCGGTAGCCTTCGTATAGAGTTAAAAAATAAATAAACGGTAGGAATTATATTATATCATGTCTTCCTTACGTTACGTGTGGTGTGTATACATCCAAACAAAACAGGACACGAAGCTACCGCAGTGCGTGAACACTACTTGCCTCCCTCGACCACCGAAGGTAACCATCGTTGACCGTGGTATGAGTGCAAGCGTCTTCGTGGACAACGCTGCTTACCGGACTTTCCTCAACTCCAGGTTTAACGCCACCGCCGTAGAAATGGAGAGCGCAGCCGTGGCTCTCGTTTCCCACCAGCAAAACCTCCCTTTCATCGTCATCCGTGCACTCTCCGATCTCGCTGGTGGTGGCTCCGACGTGTCTAACGAGGCCAACATATTCAGTAGCCTCGCCGCAGAAAACTCCGTAGATATTCTCGTTAAGTTCGTTGCTTTGTTGCCTCTACACGAAAGCATGGTTCAATCAGAGTGATAAGTGTGGAGTAAGAGCATGTAACGAGGGACAAAATAATGTATTATGTAAAAGACACAATTAGATATATGTGTCTGAACCAAATAATGTCGTTCTTCTTAATTAATAAAAAAAAATCTGTTTTTTCTGTTAATAATTTTTTTTTTTTTGGTGAGAATTTTTTCTGTTAATATTACTACTGGAATCTCTTGTTTTATTTCATATCGGCTGATTTAAAAGATAATGCCGATTGCTTTGAAGCCTTTGATAAAGCATGGACATTGGTTTTAGAAGAACACAAATACAAACCAAACAAGTAACTTATTAATTGAAACTAGAATGGGCCTGTTAGTTTGATATGGACCCAAGTCATATAATATTCGGCCTGAATATTCAGTCAAGCGTCTTTAGATGGACTAATAGAAATTTAGCATTGTTCTCTTGTAGTGGATCACCAGATTCAAATTTGAATGTTATTTCAGTATTCTGTATAGAAACTTTATGCCATCTTAGTTTAAAACCACTTCCTTTGCCTCAACAGTATAAGAAATTCATACTGATTTTATATAGTGACACAATGACATATAATAATGGCTCAAATATAAATTCTTGAAGGGCTCGAGATGGAGATGAAACATGAAACTCCCAAGACAAAAAAAGACCAAAACACATAGCTGGACATCAAAAAGAGGACAAAAGTGGCAACGGTGTCGTATATCTCACAACGGTCGATACGTGTTTCAACTTAACCGTTGAAAAATCCAACTTTTAGATAGAAGAGTGGTGGTGGTGGATATAGAACAAAAGGGTGAAGTGGGTTTTGCAAAATACTTTATGGTTTTGTAATTTTCACTTAGACAAGTATTTGAAATTTATTGAGAGGGACAATAAAGTTGCCCTTTTTAAGACTTTGACTTGGACGACGAACCTGAGAACTCCGACACATTTTTAACTTTCTCTCTGTCTCGGCTCTCTCTAGAAAAAAACACATATTTCAATTTGATTTTAGTTTTCTTCTTCTCTTGGTTTTTGAGAGAAAATATTTCGAAATTTACACTCTTTTTAATATTTTTCTTTGTCGCCGCAGTTGAGACTCACTGCAAGCGTCTCTTGTAAGCTCATTTCGAGTCTTCTTCACCACTCCAACTCTTCACTTCTTTAACTTCTTCTATTAATTTGGTTCATCAGTTTTTATTAAACTTCTGGGTTTGGAATCTGGTACCTGGAGAGTAAGAGAATGAGCGCTTCCAAGTTCATAAAATGTGTAACTGTTGGAGATGGAGCTGTTGGGAAGACATGTATGCTTATCTGTTACACTAGCAACAAGTTCCCTACTGTGAGTTTTTCTTTAAAAATCGTTTCTTTCAGACTCATAATAAGCTTTCATTTTACATTGTCAAGCTTTTATTTTTTCTTACTTACTGGTTTTAAGAGATTTCATTCCTGTTATTGCTCCCATGTCTCAAAAAAGTTAAGCTTTTATTCCAATTTGTCGTCTTTGAACTCTTTAACTAGTTTCTCCGTTTAGGGGGTTTATGAGATGATTCTTGCTCTGATTCATGACTCTTGCTGTTTGTTCAGGATTATATACCAACTGTGTTCGACAATTTCAGTGCCAATGTTGCTGTGGATGGACAGATCGTGAACTTAGGGCTATGGGACACTGCAGGTGAATTTAAAATGTCTACAGTAATTTAATTTTGAAACCAATGAACCAAAGATTTGAAAATTGATATGATACAGAGAGGTCTAGCTTTTGAAGCTCTCATTAGTTTATTTGTGGGTTTGTTATTTTATTGGTGTCTTCAGGTCAAGAAGATTACAGTAGGTTGAGACCATTGAGTTATAGGGGAGCTGATATCTTTGTCTTAGCCTTTTCCCTTATTAGCAAGGCGAGCTACGAAAATGTACTCAAGAAGGTAAATGTTTTTTTGAATTCTCCTTGCATTGGAACATATTGGATTGTGAATTTGGTGGATGCTGATTTATGTATATCTGTGTTTGAATATGTTGTTTTTGACAGTGGATGCCTGAACTTCGTCGGTTTGCCCCAAATGTTCCCATAGTCCTTGTTGGTACAAAGCTAGGTGGGGTTTGTTTTGCAGAATTTTGGGTCAAAGTCTCTTTTTAATTCCTCTTGGCTATTAACAATATAACATTACATCTTGGTGTTCTTAAGATCTTCGAGATGACAAGGGATACCTCGCGGATCACACCAATGTCATTACCTCTACTCAGGTATATACGCGTAAATTCGCTATTGGTTTTGATTTGAAATGAATCTTACTTCATGAAAAGCTTTCTCAAGTTTTGTTTTCTGGAGACAGGGAGAGGAGTTGAGGAAGCAAATCGGTGCAGCTGCTTATATCGAATGCAGCTCCAAGACTCAACAAGTAAGTTCCCAAACTCAAGACGACAAGAAGTAATGTTTTGGTGAAAACTGTTAGAATCTTACTTGGACTTGTTGTAGAATGTGAAAGCGGTGTTTGACACAGCGATCAAGGTTGTACTACAGCCTCCGAGGAGGAAGGAGGTCACACGGAAAAAGAAGAAACACAGAAGATCCGGTTGCTCCATTGCGTAAGTGCTTCAAAGACTATCTTTTTTTCTTGGTAGTATGTGAAGAGACAAGACTCTTACGGTCTTACCGATTTTCACCTCTCAAAAACCTTGCAGGAGTATTGTCTGTGGAGGCTGCACCGCAGCTTAAGACACATCACAAGTCTCACAAACATTGTGACAATCTATTGTTCTCTTTCTATGGTTGTTTTCTGGTTCGTAGGTCGAAAAAAATCTCCAAATGTGAGACAAGGGAACTGTTGGTTCTCTTATTTGTATGTGAAGCACCTCTCTGTTTTTGTTTGTGTAGATTTTGTAACATTCTCTTGTTTTGTTTACAAGTTTTGGATCTCTCTAGCAAATTTAGAATTCTTGAATTTTGCTGTCTTTAGTAATACAGTCATTGAAAAATACTTCAAACTGAACATTAAAAACGAAACTTACTTAGTAGTTGCATGGATGTCAATGTTCATAAATATAACTAATGCATACTGCTAGATTTTGTTATGCAAATAGTGAATTAGATGTTGACAAAAAAAAAAAAAACTAGTGAATTAGAGTTTTAGATTCTGTAAATGTTGCAAACAGTTACATAACGACGTCGTTCTCAAGGGTATTTTAGTCATTAAGAAGCGGAGAATTCGTTAGCGTTAAGTTTAATACTTTAATATCGTCATAGTCAGAAAAGATCGGTAGAGCAAACGACGTCGATTTTGGAGAAGATGGATAAACAACCGGCGAGCAGTTGGAGTATCCATACCCGGCCGGAGATAATCGCAAAGTACGAGATCTTCGAGCGAGTGGGATCCGGAGCCTACGCCGACGTTTACAGAGCTCGGCGTCTCTCCGACGGTCTAATAGTAGCGCTCAAGGAGATCTTCGATTACCAGTCTGCGTTTCGAGAGATTGATGCGCTCACCATCCTCTCTGGATCTCCTAATGTCGTCGTTATGCACGAGTACTTCTGGCGTGAGGATGAGAACGCTGTGCTTGTGCTTGAGTTCCTCAGGTCGGATCTCGCCGCGGTGATCCGAGATGCTAAGAGGAAGAAGAAGGGAGAAGGAGGGGTTGGATTCTCGGTTGGGGAGATTAAGAGATGGATGATTCAGATTTTGAACGGTGTTGATGCTTGCCATAGGAATTTGATTGTACATAGAGATGTGAAGCCTGGGAATATGCTGGTATCTGATGATGGAGTGCTTAAGCTTGCTGATTTTGGTCAGGTGATTATATGAATGATTCCATTGATGAAATGCAGTAAATTTTGTGAATCCCTGCACAAAAAATGCTTAGTTAAGTGTAATGAAGTGGCCAGAACTTATCATTTAGTGTCATCAGTGAGTTTCTATGAAGTTTTCTTATGTGTTTGTAAATGTTTGTTGGCTTCTTGGCTTGTTTTGCAGGCTAGGATACTCATGGAGTCTGATATTGTCGCTTCGGATGAAAACCAACAAGCTTATAAATTGGAAGACAAAGATGGAGAAACTAGTACAGAACCACCAGAAGTGATTCCGGATTATGAGAACTCACCTCGGCTAGGCTCTGATGGTCAGGAACAGGAAGCCATTAGTAAAGACGAATATTTCCGACAGGTGGAAGAGCTCAAGGCTAAACAGGTTGTAAGAGATGATACTGATATGGATTCGAATGTGCATGATGGAAATACATCTTGCCTCGCAACATGCACTGTTAGTGAAATGGATGATGATCTCGGTGGGAACTCGTTTTCCTATGATGCTGATGCAGCATTGGATGAAACCCAGGGTTTGATGACATCTTGTGTGGGAACCCGATGGTTTAGGGCACCAGAACTTCTCTATGGATCTACAATGTATGGGTTAGAGGTGGATTTATGGTCGCTTGGTTGTGTGTTTGCTGAGCTCTTGTCTCTTGAACCTTTGTTCCCCGGAATTTCAGATATTGACCAGATCAGCAGAGTAACCAACGTGCTGGGAAATTTAAATGAAGATGTCTGGCCAGGTTGTGTCGATCTTCCAGACTACAAGTCGATCTCATTTGCTAAAGTAGAATTCCCTCTTGGTATAGAAGGCTGTCTTCCTAACCATTCAGGAGATTTGATATCGCTACTCAAGAAGCTAATCTGTTATGATCCAGCTAGTAGAGCTACTGCTGTAGAGATGTTGAATGACAAATATTTCAGTGAAGAGCCTCTTCCAGTTCCAGTTTCTGAGCTCTTTGTGCCTCCGACAAGGAGTGGGCCAGATGAGGATTCTCCGAGAAACTGGAACGATTACAGAGAAATGGATTCAGATTCAGATTTTGACGGCTTTGGACCAGTGAATGTAAAGCCTACCAGTAGTGGATTTACGATAGAATTCCCCTGAACCGAATGGCATTTAAGGTACTCAGTCAAAAGCTGTAGCTCAGTTTAGATAAACTAGTCATAAAGGCTTTTCTTCTTTCTCCTTCATGTAGAAAGGGGGTGTTTAGCAAAACCTGACATGTGTTTGCCTTAGTGGCAACCACTCTTTGTTGTCTGAAGATCTGGTTCCTGCATACTGATAAGAAAACTGTTAACATTTTGCTAGGCCACATTGTATAAGTATCACTGTTTTCATCTCTTAAGTTACTTTTGAAATAGGTTGCTGCTCTATTCCCTCATAACTCTGTTTCTTTTGCGCCATGTTCCTCTCATTGTCCTCAGTCCATGTTTTGATCTCTGATGTTTTATTGTCAGATTGGTTGGCATTTGGCGGTTCCATGGTTGAGAATCCTGATCCTTGCGACGTCCCCTGAATTCGCTTTCTCTGCCAAAATTGTGTTGTGTGTTGTTTCTATCTCTCCCTCTCCCTCTCCCTCTCTGGTATAGTAACGATAACATTTACCACTGGAAATTTGGTGTTAGGCTGTTAGCCTTTAGCTATCTAAAGAGCTAGTTTTCTTGTTTCCCCGGCCAAACTTTACCCTATTTCTCCATGAGAAGATAATAAAAATATCTACATCTCCTCTGAGTTTTGCTTCCTAGGTTCTGTCTATTTCATTATTTTTTTCTTCTATATCTGATCTTTGCCTGTATATGATTTGCCAATTTCGTACTTTTCATATCAACATGTGTAAATTAAGTTCGTCTCAGTATAGTGTCTCTGTTGAAAGATGAGACCATCTATTGATATCATAAATACCATAAACAGCACACACAAATACCATAAATTGAGTCTGACTCTACCAGAAAATGTCCGCAGCAGTAGATAGATTCCACGAATCAGTCATCTAGTCCCAACATGTTGAAATATAAATTTAAGGGGCAATATTGAAAATTAGACTAAAGTTGATAGACCAAAAAATAAATTAGTAACAGTTTCCAACATCTATCGCCAAGTCTTCCCCTAGGGTTTTTTTTCTTTTCTGAAACGGACATCGAGATTCCAGGAGTGAACTTGACAATCGGAGAGAAATGGGGTCGATTGAAAGAGATCAGACGACGCAGCATCACCCGCCTCAAATCAGCAGTCTCGTCGTACGACCATCCGGAAGCAACGACGGAGAAGACCGCCGTAACGCCGCCGCCGGAGACTATGAGTCCGGAGAAGTCTCCCGTGACAGGCCCTCATTTGCTCGCTCGGATCGGTTTAAAGGTGACAATGGTTCGTATCTCTCTGCTAATGTTATTACACTTGAGTTTTATTCTCCTTTTTGGTTTCCATGTTTGAAATTGGGGAACGAAGAACAGAACTAAGTTAGGCATCACTTTTAACAAGTGTTTGCGCTTGTCTAGTCTTACTAAATGCTTTCTCTCCTTTGACTTGTGAATCCGATATGGAGAATCGTGTGTAGTTATTTCGTTAGCGTTAGTTTCTGCCAAAATGTAGTGTGAATTGCAAATGAGCTACTTGGTTTTGTTGTGTTTGTTTATACACTACTCTTGTTTGAAAGAACTGAGGTCTTGTAGTAGGAATGTTAATCTGAACGGTTTGGGTCAATTTTGTGTGTTGATGCTCAAGAATCTCACTTGCTACAGATGCTATTATATGGATTGCATAGCTAAGAGTTAAGTGACACTTAGGATTGTTAGAAATTTAATGCTGCTACAGATGCATATCAGCTTTTCCTGTTCTTGCTTAGTGAAAAGAGAAAATAATCTTGCGATGAGTTGTTTGGTATATGCACTAAGAATGCTATTGGGGCACCAAGGTACTGGTTATTTCACATTGTCTGTGCTCAAGTTTTTTCTCAGTATTCAAAGATATTGCCCTTGATGATTTTGCAATTTTGCTGTCTGCTAATATCTACTTTTGTGATTCCTCAGTGGAGAGTACCTGTAACTTGTTGACTTGATAATAGTTTGCACTTTTTGTTATACTGTAGTTGACCTACTGGCTACTCTTTTTTGTGTGTGTAGGAGGACATAGAACTCGTGCAAGTTCTAGCTCACCAGGCCGTCGTGGATATGAAGAGCACCGGCATGGTTCTGATCTTAATCATTCAGGCCCTCCACCTCGTGTTCGTGAGTTCAGCAGCAGAAGGGAATCATCTGGGAGACACAGAGATTATTCACCACCTTATGCTAGAGGTGGAGCTGCTGCTCGTCCTTATGGAAGAGGTTTCGATGGACCTGAACCTGCGCATGGAAGTGAGAGCATGAGCAGAAATAGTTACCCGAGAATGCAACCGAGAGATGGAGATTGGTACTGTCTAGATCCATTGTAAGTAACCTTGGCTACTCCAAATTTCTAATAAATATCAGGGTGTTCTATATGAATTCTACAGAAGTTTTGTATCCATATTTCACAGTTTACAGAAAAATTCCAAATTTCATTTGTATGTTTGTTCTGTCATGAATACAGATGTAGAAACTTGAACTTTGCGAGACGCGAGTCCTGCAACAAATGCAAAAGGCATCGGTATGCACCGGCTAATAGTCCTCCACCACCTCGTCTTCTTCCTCCTCCTATGAATTTCTCCCCAAGAAGAGACTTTAATGGCTACAGATCTCCTCCACGGGGCTGGCCCAGAGACTACCCGCCACCAAGACATGACCATCCCACATGGAGAGACAGAGACAGAGACAGAGACCGAGACCGAGATCGTCTACATCACCCAGATCATGAGTACCCTCCTAGCAGAAGAATAGCCTCTGACTGGGCCCATACTGAGCCGCTCCCAAAACCTCATTACGACAGACGACCACCTCTCAGTCTGCCTCCTCCACCGCATCCTCCACCTCGTGGTGACAGATGGGGACCACTCTCGAGAGAAAGGAGTAGATCCCCACCATTGAGAGATGGTCCACTGCCACAATTGAGAGATGGTCCGCCGCCACCATTGAGAGGAGGCGGTCCACCGCCGCACAGAGATTACCGCCGTGAAAGTTACTTGGATAGAGGAGGACGAGATGATCGGCGTGGTGGCAGAGACAGAATGGGAAACTCTTACTGATTCAAAAACTGTGTATGTCTCGAGAATTTGGTTTTTAGACGGTTACAAAATTTTACCGGAAAATCAAAAGTGACCTTGTAGTACTCATTAGATTCTTTGTTCTGATTTTTGAATGTTTAGCAAAACTTTTGTGCCTTATGTGCAAAATCAAAGAAACAATTTTGGTGCTCTTTCGTTGGTAAAAGAAAGTATCGGGCCGAAGTCTAAATATTCGTTTTCTAAAACGGGCCCTTTTGTTTCTGCTCTGCTTGAGAAGGTGTTGTACTATGTCTGTGTGTGAGTCACAAGTGGTCTGTGTACGTGTCAGTTAACGATTGGCTGAAATCTAGATACACACATATTAAAGGGCTTTTTGGATATTTGCTTCAGCGTAGATCGGACGGTGAAAAGAGAACAAAACCTAAAGCATTTATGAATTCACATCGTCGGATCATCGCATTAAACGAGATCCGTACGATGAGATTGCCACGCAAATCCAGCCGTTCAATATAATCCAGAAATTGAAATTTCAAAACATGTTAGAGAGAGGGAGGAGGAGAGAAGAAGAAGAAGAAGAAGGAACAAAACCGAAAGTATTTTGCTTTTATTTTTTTTCGTTTTTAATTTCACCAAATTCTTCTGAGGGCTTCTTCTTCTTCTTCTTCATCTTCATCTTGTTCGTTTTCGTCTAGAGCTAAAACCCTAATTCTCATCTCTCGAAAAGCTTATCCCTTTTTTCTCTCTCTCTCTAAATTTATACACACGCGGATCAAATTCAAAGTGTGGAGCTTTGTTAACAGCCGCCGAATCGGTTTGTGATTTTCTCGCTCCGGCGAGATTCGGATCTGGATTTTGTGAGCTGATTTGTGGGAATTTCTCGTTTTCTTTTTCGCGGTGATATCAACTGTGGTGGGAAAAAAAGGAAAATTTCTGGGTTTTTTGAAAAAACTCGAGATTCGAAAATCTGTGAGATGAGCGAAGGCGGCGGAGGAGGCGAATTCCCGCCAAAAAAGGACGGTGTTGAAGAGGGTTTTCCGGCAAAGAATCCAGCGAGGCAGCTCGACTTCACTGGTGGCTCCGATGAACATTCACTGTCTAAAGCAGCGACTGCTCCTACCGTCGTAGCTACGGCGGCGGTGAAACCCATCGTTCCTACTTCCTCTGTCCCTTCGACGATACGCCCGGGTATGACCATAGCAATCGGTCAGGTACGACCAGTGGCGACGACACCAATTCTGCCGTCACAAGCACTAATCCTTAACGCGCCAATCAGGCATCCGTAAGTTTTTTTTTAATCTATTGAGCTTTCTGTGATGAAAAATTCAAACTTTTGGTGTCTGGGTGGGCAAATTATAGTCATGTGTGATCTTAGCTTAATTGAGTTTGTACAAGTTTGATTGGGGAGGATGAATTTGGTTTGAAGTTTAATACTTTTAGACTGATTGGTGAAACTAGTTTAAATGGATTTGTGTCCAGGACTTAAGATTTGTAGAACTCGCATTCACCTTAACAAAGGCCTAGTTTAATTTGGTTTTATGATAATTTCAAAATTTTCTTATCTTTTTTTGGCAGAGTGCCGGACTCTCCACAAGCTAGAGCAAGGCCTATCGTGGAAGCTAGAGATGGAACCCCTCAAAAGAAGAAGCAGTGTAACTGTAAACATTCTCGCTGCTTGAAACTGTAAGTCTTCCATTTTTGTTTAGGGATTGTCATTCATCAAACTTAGTTTCCCGGTGATAAGTTTGTATGATTGCATGTTCATATCTTTTCCTTTTTTGTGATGCATGTCTAAGAAACTCGAAGTCTTAACTTTTTGAGTTAACCAATTATTGTTGTTAATTGAGGAGTTGTGCATTACAGTTTCTGATCCGGCTTTACTATTTAACCTCAGCAAACTTACACTGTGCACTATCTTATCAGGTACTGTGAATGCTTTGCATCCGGAACATATTGTGACGGTTGTAACTGTGTAAATTGTTTCAACAACGTTGATAATGAACCAGCAAGACGAGAAGCTGTGGAAGCAACTCTAGACCGGAATCCATTTGCATTCAGACCTAAAATTGCTAGTAGTCCCCATGGTGTGCGGGATAAAAGGGTACGTGACCTTGATGGACTTGGTTTAGATCGTGGGAGATTTTTTTAACTTCTAAGTTATTGTGGGATGTTTAAACTGTTGATTTGTCTTTGCAGGAAGACATTGGCGAAGTTGTGTTGTTAGGGAAACATAACAAAGGATGCCACTGCAAGAAATCGGGATGCCTTAAGAAGTATTGTGAGTGCTTTCAAGCAAATATTCTTTGTTCCGAGAACTGTAAATGTTTGGATTGCAAAAACTTTGAAGGAAGTGAAGAGAGACAAGCTCTCTTTCACGGTGAACATGCCAACCACATGGCTTATCTCCAACAAGCAGCAAATGCTGCCATTACTGGAGCTGTAGGTTCCTCTGGCTTTGCTCCTTCTCCAGTACCTAAGAGAAGAAAAGGTCAAGATATTATGTTCAACCAAGGTACCAAAGATTCATCTAGACTTGGCCAGTTTCCACAGGTACAAAGTTACCAATTTAGCATATATATGCGTTTGGGCATCTATATATGGAACTGAATATATCCTTTTTTATGCTGTTGCTTAGTGAAGTACAATCTTATTTTTTCTATATTTAGGTAAATAGTGGAAGAACTACTGGCCCAACGTCAGGCACATCTCCGTCACCTGTTTCTCGTGCTGGTGGCAATGCATCATCAGCTCCATCAAAGTTTGTATATAGGTGAAATTTCTAGCGTTCACGAGTTATTTAGCTGATCCAAGAACTTCATATAACTGACTTGTTATGCTGTATGTTTTTTAATAGGTCCCTCTTAGCAGATATAATCAAACCACAGGATGTGAAAGCGCTTTGCTCTGTTTTGGTCACTGTAGCGGGGGAAGCAGCAAAGACATTAACAGGTACGAATTTGAGTTGGATTGCTGCGGTTTTAGATCTCTATGTATATTATTCATTGATCTTCCTTTGAAATTTTCCCAGCTCAAAGGAAGGAAAAAGAAAATCGAGTGGAAGACCAAACAGACACTTCTTTAGCCTCTTCTGCACAAGATCACTCCCAAGACAGTAAAGATGTGGAGATGGTTGCAACTGACGAAAGTCAAGCTGATAAGTCTGGACCAGAGGATTCCAATTCTGATGGTGTCGATGCCTCTAAAGCGAAGCCGCTATCTCCAGCAACGTTGGCTTTGATGTGCGATGAACAAGACACTATCTTCATGGTAGCAGCAGCTTCACCTAATCGTTCAGTGGACCCTGGTGGCTGTGGAACAAACTCACAGAGCCAGTCAGAGATATACGCAGAGCAAGAGAGAGTGGTGTTAACCAGATTCAGAGATTGCCTTAGCCGAGTAATCTCTTACGCAGAATTAAAAGGTAAAAAAATTTCAAGTTTCACACACATTTCATCAAGACGCTATCTTCTCTACGGTTAGTTAAGTTTGTTTTGTTTGCAGAATCAAAGTGTTCATCTTTAGCAAGAAAACATCAACAACCACCCGCCACCGCGACTGTGAAAACCGAGAATGGGATTCAGCAGCAAGTACCAATTGTGAATGGAGCTTCACGAACCACCTCTCAACCTACAGTCGATATACCGCAACCTTTGCAGCTGATGAATACAACACCAGCAGCAGCAGCAGCAAACACTCACCATCTTCATAATCCTCCAGCTTTATCAGAGAAGAAAGACCCATGAATCAATCAAATAGATTATACTCTACTTAGGACAGAAAATAACTTACCAGTGAGAAGGCAAACAACAAGCTGAAATCTGTCTCACAGCCGCCCTGTTTTATCAGGTAATACGACCATAATTTTTCTTTACACTGGCGGTTGTGTGGCTTCAGCACATTGGCAAGGTGACTAGAGAGACTAATAGACACAAGCTTTTATTGTGTCGTTAAGCTTTCTTCTCGCTTTTCTCTTTCTTTTCTTATAAAGTCTCCTCTTTAAAGCCCCTGTGGCTGCTGTAGATTATGGAGAGCTTTGTTTCTTTACTACACGAGTATTTTTGTAGCGCTTTGTGTTCAGTAGTACCTTCTCTGTTGATGGTTTAGCTGTGGAACATCCTTGTTTATTGTGTCTGATTATGATCTGAGATGTTTCTCAATCAGCTTCTGTAGGAATTGAAAGTTATATATGATAATAAAACCCTAATTTGATAAGAAAGAAAATGTGAATTTCTCTGTATTTTCTTCATGACTAGAACAAATCATAATACTTCTGGGTAAGTTTATCAGCTCTTGGCAATTTCAATATCTTCTTCTAAGTTTCACAACAGACGACCATTATATGAGAACGACGTCACTACAAACAATTATTAAGAACATAAAAATTATTTATTTTAAGTGTCTACAACAAACACCTTAATAGCATTTTTAGCTTTGAAACAACAAGAGAAGACTGATTTATTCTCAATTCGACTCTTCAGCGTCTCCTCCAGCATACACTTGTTCAAACGCTTCACAATCGAGACCTCGAAGATTTCAATTCACTCTGCAGCAAAAACCGGAATTTTCATCATGAAAACAAATTCAGAAGACAGAACAACGAAAACCGGTCTAGTACAGCATTCATAAGCTTGGAAAATGTTTCTTACATAGATCTCAATCTACTAATTACCATAAAATGTTTTCTCAAAACTTTTGTGCAGAAAGTTTTAGTTATAGCCAAACTACAAAAAACAATTCTACATACAATAGTTTATGCTAAACTTGAACCCAAAATCTAAAGTTAGTTGGTACTTATTTGGTACTGTGTTCTCTCGCCACATCATAAAATGTAAAAGAAAGTTGAGAGACATTACCAAAGGCATTCCTTTCGTTGCTCTTTCCTCCAGATACCTTGACGGCTTGAAAAAGCTGCCATAAGTCTCCGACATTTCCTTGAGCCTTTCATATATGTACTTTGGTCCAATCATGTCTGCCCAGAAAACAATGCCTCCGCTGCAACAGGTACAAAAAATGCTTACTATAAGAGGTTTCCGTCACCATATTTTTTGTGAGAAACAAAAACAAGGGAGTATTGTGGATATATTGAATGTTAGTAAATGGCCACAAGAGACTCAACGAGACGAAAAATGGATATTTGTTGGAAGTGCAAATGCATAAGATTGGAGCAGAGGCAAGGAATTTCCACAACTTAAAAATTACACCCTTTTTCTTTATGGGGATTTTGACTTAGAATCCTCACCGGTAAGAAGGAAAACTCATTCCAAGGACAGACGCAATGTCCAGGTCTGAGGCTCGGATCACAACTCCTTCATCTAAGACACGGCATGCCTCGTTTACCACAGGGAACAAGATCATCTCTACAATTTCTTTGTCAGTTACTGATATAGGCTGCAAAAGAAGGCCAAGACTGCTGTAAATTAAAAAGACCAAATAGTAGTGCTACGAATATTTCGTACGACCTCTTAATATTTTACCTTCCCACCAGGCATGATGTTGGTCAGTTTCCGCGATTCCTCAACAACTGAAAGTACTGATGGATCAGGCTTTGGTTTGCTTCCCTTTTCGTATATATAGTATCCTCTCCCGTTGATCTTTCCTGAATCAGCAAATGTTAAAAGTGGGCACATTAGGAATTTACAAAGGTAAGAGCATTTTCATACCATTTCTCCCGCTCTTAAGCAGAAGCTCGGTCAGTGGAGATCTGAACATGCGGTCACCATAGACCTTGGCATATATCGGCCCAACTGCTAAGCCAATTCCGTGTCCAGCCAAATCACCAAGCCTAAGAAGAGAGTCATCCAAAACAAAAAAGTTTCCTCAGTTGCTGAGATAACCATAAAGCAATACATACAAACACACAAACAAGTGTAGGTAACAAAGATAAGGAGCCAGAGATTTACTGGAAAGGGCCCAACGGCAAGCCGAAAGAGGTAATAACACTGTCGATTCTGAACAAGTCAACACCTAAATTGGCCAACATATGTGCAGCTTGTGTATACGGGAAGAATGTCCTATTCACTGCAAAGCCTATGCAGTTTCCAACCACAACAGGAACTTTCTTTATCGCCTTTCCAACTGCCATGAGATCCAGAATCACCTGGGGAGAAGTATTCTCTGAACGAACAATCTCAAGAAGGGTCATCAGATGTGCCGGGCTATAGAAGAAAATAAAAACCTTTGTAAGTATATTAAAGAAACGAAAAGTGTAAAAATCTTGGAGACATTGGAATCACCATGTCCACACCTGAAGAAATGTGCACCAACAATGCGATCTTTTGAGTTAGTCTTTTCTCCAATTACATTGAGGTCGATAGTAGATGTATTGCTCGCCAAAATGCAATGTGGTGGACAGACCTTCTCGAGTTCTTTAAATATGTTTTGTTTCAACTGAATGTTTTCAATTACAGCCTGAAAACAATGATATGAGGAGAAAGGCCTTATAGTAAGAAGATAGATATTAGTTGAAACTCTCTTTGAACTATCTAGATCTGAATATACTTGATACCAAAGAGAGCGACAGATAACAACAAAACAGATAACTGAAATTGGAGGCAGACCTCTATGACCATGTCCACATCTTTGAATTCTGTGTAATCAAGTACCCCCTTGAGCAAAGAGAGGGCCTTTCCTGCTTTATCTTGTGTCAGTTTCCCCCTAGATACCAAGCCTTTGATATTTCCTGTCACAAGAAAAGAAAAAATTAACTTTATTGCATCTACTGTAACAGGGATAATAAGAAACCATATAACTTTATTGCATCTAATGTAACAGGAATAATAAGAAACCATATAATATATGCTTCCGTCATACGCTATAGATGCTTCTTTTGGATCCACACAACTCACTGAAGTGTCTGTACACTTTTCTAAGAGAACCTTTTATATAAAGAAACTAATCATTTTTGGTTTACCAAAAGATAGATACTTCTACAAATATTAATTGGATTTTTTTCTGGATAAGATAATAACCTTCAACTGTTTTTATTCCCTTCATAAGATATTCTGGATTTATTTCTTTGAGCACAACTCTTATATTGCTTAGAAGTAGAGCCGTAGCAATGCCAGAACCCATCAGACCTCCACCAATAACTGCAACTTTTTTAATCGGCCGCGGTTTCAATCCAGCGTCAGTTACATTAGGCACCTGAAAAGTGGTTTAAGAGATGCTCAAGATGAACACTGAACGTGGAAACTAGAAGACTAGGAGCAACAAACACAGTGCATTTGGATCTAACTTCTAAGTCAATTCATTCATGTGAATTTCAAGGCAACTAAAGATTCTAAAGAGTTAGAAGGCTTGTCAGTTGTCACTAAGTACGCCAATCTTACTTTTGATGTTGCACGTTGTGCGAAGAAAACATGAACAAGGCCCTTTGCGGTGTCTGAGAGTACTAATTGCCTGAAAACTTCTGCCTCCTGCATTGTGAAATAAATAGTTTAAGTACATAGAACCACCCCAAATTATTAACGTAATGAATGGATGAAATTTGTGAAAATATGGAAGTCTTGCTTTCCAAATATTAAAGAATATGATGTCCAATGAGAAGCACTAACGAGCAGTAAATTTTATGTCAGAGCTATTGAAGAAATTCAGGAAAAGTAAGAAATACAGTAAACATCAAGTCCTAAAGTTACCTTAAGAACCCCACTGTATCCTCCATGAACGATTCCTTCTTCAATCACCTCAATGACAGCATGGTGCTGAGGCATTTTTGGGGCTATCTTCTTGGCTAGCTGTCTTGAATTTTTCAATATAGCACGAGCTTCAGATAAAGAACCAATTTTGTCAGTCCTGTGCAGTGAACGCAAAAAGGGTTTACGTCCATCTGCAATGTCTAGAGCCCACTTTCTGGACGTGCTCAACAATTCTCCAGGTGGCACCAAAGCATCAATGAGACCCAGTTTCTGACCCTCCTCTGATGATATCGACTTCGAAAGCTACCAAAATATAGTTGAAAATAATAATCAGCCAAGTCATATTTTCACAAAACTTGGTAGCGAAACTGCTGGTACATGTGAATAACGCCATCCCTACCAGTATCATATCAGTTGCTTTTGCAAGGCCTACTAACCTTGGAAGACGTTGGGTTCCTTCATAGACATAATTAGCTTTGATTAAGTACCAAACACTATTGAAAGGTATCTATAGATAAACAATAACTAGCGGAGTTCATTTAAAAGAAGACTAGACCACAGACAAATCCGTACCTCCAAAACCTGGAATAACTCCAAGTGTCAGTTCTGGTAAGCCTAGTTGAGCTTTCGGAGCAGAAACACGGGCATGACACGCCTACAGAATTTTGATTGACAATATAAGATAAGAATATCAAAAGACACTTTTAAAAGCACAAAGGAAACAATTTTATAAATCCCACCATTGCCAGTTCTAAACCACCACCAAGAGCTAATCCTTCAACTGCAGCAACAAGGGGCTTCCTAGAATCTTTGATAACCAGAAAACAGCATCAACATCAGATACTAGAGAGTACTTCCTCTCTTTCTAATACATCACACCATGCAATAGTAGCAAGCTTAATAATACCTTCCATCAGGTTGCATACAAGATCAACGGATACTTCAGGCATAACCGATAAATCCCCTGCCAAGACACGAGACTGTCAAAAACCCATGAACCAACATGCTTCACTATATATACTCACAACAGAGAAAACTTCACCAGTCTTATGAACTTGCTGGAAGACATTGATGTCGAAACCACCACAAAATCTTCCATTGTTCCCTGAAATGATTCAATCATTCAAACTCCTTATAGGTAACAACAAACTAGGATAAGAAAAGAACTAAAATTTTCAAACCCCTTACAACATATTAGTTTACAATTCACAATCTATAGCTACAAGATCGAACACAATCCTTCAAAACAGGATCAATCTAAACAAAAGTAGCTCAATTTATGTTTATTTTATTTTTAATTTACCGGTCAACACAATCGCCCTAACATCATTCCTCTGATTCGCGTCTCGGAACTTCTCCTTCAACCCAGCGATAACTGAGAAATCGCAGCAACAAGATAAAAAAAACAAAGCAATTTACAGATAAGAATCGTTGATGATCTAATCTAATCACAGAGAAGCTGAAAGAATGAAGCTTTATGTACTTGGACTGGCCAAAGAGTTAACAGGAGGATTAGAAATGGTGATGACAGCAACACCATCGTTCCCAACATCCATCGTCACTCCAATCTTCTTCGCCATAGCTTAATTTTTTCTCTCTGTGATGAGTGAGTGAGATTGAAAAGTGAAAAACTTGAAGAGTTGGGTGAGTATTGATAAAAAGATCTGGTTTTGATAAGCTTGGGTCCTTCCGATTAAGTGTCACATTTGTAGTAACGAACGTTACGTGATCGATGATATCTCTTTTTTCCTAACTTGTTGTTTCATCATTTTCTTCATAAGGAACCAAACCTTGCAGTCAACAGGGCCAACCCATATTGATATGTATCTGTTGGCCTGTTCACCTAATCACTACTGGACCATATTCATATTCATATCCATATTCATATCCATATTCATATTCATATTCATATCCATATTCATATTCATATCCATATCCATATTCATATCCATATCCATATCCATATTCATATTCATATTCATATCCATATTCATATCCATATTTATATTCATGTTCAATTTTTTTTTTTTTGTCATCATTCATATTCATGTTCATATGCATCTCATTCGTTATATAAAAGAAGAGAATTTGTGATTTAGGGGCAAAATGGTTGGACTACACCGACAAATCTTTTGAGCTACATTGTATGGGCCTTTAAGCCAGATTGTCATATCATAGATTTACAATGACTTTGTCACCAAAAAGTGTGAAACCGTACTTCGTAGGGAAACGTAACGTTTTATTGAGAAGACATTGATCTCAAACAAGAGTTAATGTACCATTACAAGACATTCAGCAGATATAGATCCGAACAAAACCAAGGATGTGCAGAGAAGTATGTATAAGCTTTTGTAGTTTTCACCACGAAAGGCCACTTATAATGATTAAGCAACCACCAATTATGATTTATGATAATACTCTTGGCTGTACCACAAGTCGTATATAGATATGTAAAGTAATTTTGAATTGAAGCTTCATATAGGAGAGTGAGTATATTGAAAGAGGACAAAACAGCATTAAAAGAGGGGTGATATAACTAAACTACAAGAAAGGCCCAACGAACAGAGCTATTTTCACTGGCTTCAGCTGTCATTCTTAATATCGCAGAGATCGATCATGAGCTTTGGAGATAGAATAATATAGCTACTGACCGAGATCTCGTGATCATTTACTTTTCAGTGTGACATTTAATATTCCAGGGTTTAGGGTGTGTCTGTGTAGTTCTGGTTCAGTATCATCAGTTGTGAATTACTTAAGATTTCTCAAGTCTTTCCAACAAGATCTTGAGCATCAGAGCATGGATTGTTTGCCTAATATTGAGTATTGCCTCATTGAGTTAGAAAATAAGACGGTCCCTTGTAAATTGCAAAACTAAGAGTTACGTTTTACTATTTTTTCATTGAATGGTTTGAATTGCATTAGAACTTAGAAGTAAAACCAAGAATATTTCAAAGCTGTTTTCTTAAGTTACGCAACTAACGACCAATTAACTATTCGTACTTTATGCTTCTCACACGGTTATACTAATTAAATTATACTCATAAGTCATAATCTATAGCCTATGAAAGTTTTGTATTAACGTTGTTAATATGTTATGCAGCATATCATTTTTCGAGAAGTACTAATTTTCGAGTATTATTTAATCTCCAAATTAATATTTTTGTCTTCCAACCTGCCAATTTAATGCATTTACATGCTCTACTAACTTCAGCCTTTGGGCGCAACCACATGCTCTGCATGCTCTCATTTATTGCCTTTGTATTGTATACATTACATATATGTACAAACATCTACTATTTACACTTTACATTTTCGGTTTATCCCTATAATTTGAGTCAGACCATTGTCAAAGTAAATTTTTCTTTTTTTCTTTTGAGTTTTGGTTAATGAATCATTCGTTCTTATAATATATAATACCTTTTTAAGCATTTTAGTTTGAGGGTTAATGTGCTTGATAAGAAAATGACGCATAAATACGGTTGTATATCAACATACAGAACCAAAAATACTCCTAGAAGCACCGTTTTTAATTTACCAAAAATAGTGAGCACAAGAAAAGTTAACTCTAGATAATTTTGAAAGAAAAAACTAATATACGATCAAAATTGCATGAAATACGTTTCGACCACTTTCTATATGTTGGTTTTATCTCATAATCTCCAGTCCATTTTAAACCTTACCAAGAATCAATCGCCTGATTGGAGTATCCGATGCCCATATGCCAAAAATTTACCGAACAAATTCATAGACATATAGAAAGATGTCAGAACATTACAACATGCACTTTTTTCCAAAAAAAAACAAAAACAAAAAAAACACTACAACATGCATACATTATGTCGAAGTTTACTTCTAACTAATTTCATAGCCGTCAATTATACTATATGAAAATGTTGAATTTATTTAGGTGATTTACAACAACTCCAAAAAAAATATATATATATGGATTTTAATTTACTGTGTACATAAGGGAAGTAGAATGTAAATGTAGACGTGGAGGGATTGGCATCGAACATATAGAGATGAGATGGTCGAACATTTATTTATAACTTATCCATCTGTCACTCTATAACCCTAATTTTAACCCCTTCACGTTCCTATATAAACTTCCCCTGAGTACCAAACACTTCACTACTCTCTCCACGAAACAAAAACAATTATAGAGTTAAGTTACAAAAGAGTAAGGAGAAGAGAGATGGCAATTAGGTGTTTAGCTGTGGTCCTCGTTTCTCTCATGGTGGCTCAAGCCGTCACTGCAACAAGACCTGCTCCAACCAAGAATGTAGGAGCTGGTCTTGACGACCAAAAGAACTTTGTGGCGTTCGCTGGCGTTGGTGGAGCTGCTGGAGTTGGAGGAGTCGGTGGTATTGGAGCTGGTCTTGGTGGTGTAGCCGGTGGGGTCGGTGGTGTAGCCGGAGTCTTGCCTGTTGGTGGCGTAGGAGGCGGAATTGGTGGTCTAGGCGGTGGTGCAGGTGGTCTTGGCGGTGTAGGAGGTCTAGGTGGGGGTTCAGGTCTTGGTGGTGGAGTAGGTGGACTTGGTGGTGATCCTGGCCTTGGTGGTGGTATAGGTGGACTCGGTGGTGCAGGTGGTCTAGGCGGACTCGGCGGTGGAGGTGGTCTAGGCGGTGTTGGTGGCTTGGGTGGAGTTGGAGGTGGAAGCGATTGCGGTGGCGTAATTCCTCACCATTGATGTTAAACGTTGTTTTTTTTCTCTCTATAAACCAAAGATGTGTCGAGAGGTTCATAATTATTATGTTTTAAGTTCTTTTATCGATGTTTTATTTTTATGTCTTTGTTTGTTTTCTATATATGTTTCTTTTTGGTTATGCTGTTTGTTATTGTTACTTGTGATGACTGATGAGAACCTTGTGCTTTCAATAAATAGTGTGTTTTTTTGTATTACTTGCTTGTGCTCCAAGATATAGTTGCAATTTGCATGCAACGATATATCAAACTTAATCAGTTAATCTTTATCTGTCTAAGTTGTCAGAAAAAAAGAAAAATCTTTGTGACATGTAAAGAACAAAACAGATTTTGTTTTGTAGATTAACCTAATAACACCATTGTGAACGATAATGTTTTCTCAACCATTACAAACGAGATTAGGCTTACCAAATTTAAGCAGTTCAATACATGTTGTGGACAGTATTGTGTATTTTGTGTAAAACTTTGTATACATGTTCAAAACTTTGTTAAATTTTGTGTATTTTCTTCTGAACCAAATCTATTCAAACAGTTTTACAGTTTTAAAAAAAAAGTGTGTATTAATTGGAACAAGACTGTTTCAGTACTGTATAATAGTATCAACAGACTATATATCAGAGATTCGAAAATTTTCGTCGGTGCAGTATCCAATGATGTGATAAATGTATATATAGTATAATGTATTGGTTTATCTGTTGTGCATTAATACTATTATAGACATAGTATATAGACATGGTGACAAAGAAAATATGAAAAAAACATATAATGTAAGTTTAGAAGTATTGATCGAATTATAATGTCTGTTTTTTGAAAGAAAAAAAAACAAATAATATATAGGACCTATTTTACATCGTACAAAAGCTTTATATATAAAATTATTTTTGATTCCAACCAAAGTCTCTTGAAGTTTTCTTCAAAGATAGAAATTATTAAAAGTAGAATGAAATATCGAAACAAAATTAAGAAAAAATGATGTTTTCTATGAAAATTGTTAATAGTGAATTAACATTTTCAGATATATATTTTGAATGACCTAAGATGACCTCTGTTAAAGGTAGGCACGGTTCTTTATGCGTGTAACCATCGCTATTATTCCAATGAGCGTTAGAAATTTAATCTAGTTACAACTTACAACTACCAATAGGTAAATGTGTAGTATAGTTCCTTTAGGCACTCACCGAACGAAATACACTTCCTATCACCATAACGACTAAGTAAACTCTCATTTTACTCCAGTGGAAGTCTACCAAAATTCACATTTTTCAGAAAAATCAAATCACAGAAGACTAATTTACAAAAGGAACGATGGAGTATGTTGAAGACTAATTGACAGTGTATATATTGCGATTCTAATATCATTAGTATGGTTTAACATCTGGACAACATGGTTTGACCAGCTCAACCACTTGAACAGCCAGGACGGAACGTTAGTTACCGAGTGAGAACCAGTTATTTTGTGAAGTAAATATAAACTTAAAGGTGATATCAGAGCGTTTGGTTATAGCATTTACAATTGGCATTAACTATCTACACCGGTCCATGTGTTATTGTATGTGGTCTCTCGCCCCTTTAAAAGGACCCAACATATGTCCCAGATTTCGGCAAAAGCAACAAACATAATCTACTTATAAATTATTGTCTACTTGTTTTAATCTAAAATTACCGTTTCTTGACTATGGCGAAGTGGTTTTTCACTATCTTCTTGGTTTTTGCCCTAGCCTCTGCTTTAGCTTGTAACGCAAGAAATGTCCCAGCTGCTGGAGGCCTCTCTGACCAGAAGAACTACCTCGGTTACGGTGGAGGATACTCTGGCGTTGGTGACAATGGTATTCCGTTCGGTGGCGTTGGCGGAGGTGTGTCTGGTCCTGGAGGTAATCTTGGTTTTGGAGGACTTGGCGGTGCTGGTGGGGGCTTAGGTGGTTTGGGCGGTGGACCAGGCAGTGGATTAGGCGGTGGCTTAGGCGGCGGATTAGGCAACGGATTAGGCGGTGGAAGCGGACTTGGTGCTGGAACCGGTGGAGGGAGTACCGGAGGATTTCATTTCCCTTGAGTTTGTAACTTTGGCTTTAAGGTTTCGTCTGGTCCTCGAGCTAGGTCTTAGCTAGCTTTAAGATGTGTCATGAATAATCTATCATATCTTTTTAGGGTTCGAGTTTGGGATTATCATTAGCTTTTAACGTGCGTCTTAAGTTACTATGGTGTCTTTGAATCAGTCTCGTACGTGTCTTGTCGTGTCATGGCTTGGTCCATCTTCAAATTCTACTTTTGACTTTTTTTCTAGTGTTTCACTCAATGAGTTCATGTCAACATCTATGATTACTTTTTCGTTGTTATTATAGCTCTATTTATAGACTTTATAATTAATAGCTCCCTGCTCTATATATATGTCTTTGGAACGTACCTGGAGTCCCGAGTTATTTGAAGTTCGACCAAATACAAATGAAATGAGTACATAAACTCAAAACAAGCTAAAACTTATTTTCATTTATGAGTTTTTTTTTTAAAATCTCGTTTTATATATGACAATTAGTGAGTATAAATGTAAGTATGTAACGAAGAGGTAACAAAGCAAACAAAAATAATACATATCAGACTAATATAAAAACTCACTTACATAGCATTTTTAACTCTTTTTTTTTTTTGCGGCAATATAGCATTTTTAACTTTAAACTTCCGATTAGTTAATTTTAAATAAAAATTCACATAAATTAGTACTTAAAAAGTGCAGGCTTGGTTAGGTGAACATATTAAATCGAAATAAGTGAGTTCCAATTTAAAAGGCAAAAAAAAGAAAACAGTCAAACTTTATATTTATTACAGAACATCATTGCAGTTCAAAATACTGTTCGTCAGGTAGGTTTTGTGCATTTACTAACCTTCTCTATCTCTTGGACATCACAGACCGTCCTGGGTCAGGTGAAAATAAACTCTTGGATATCTCTTTTTATATGATTCATCATATACTGTCTACAAAATCATAGAGAAGAGAGTACTACGTGTTCCATACTTCTCATATCCACGATACCACGAAGGAAATATGTGTCATTTCTTTTGGTGCAAAGACAGACAACACACAAGTCACAACATGGTCGGATCCATATATTTTTTGGAATAACAAACAAAGATTTCTTTAGATCCGGTCTTGATTTCAATTTCTTAGGATCTACTACGAGTCTACGACTCAATGTCAATGATAGGAACTAGAGAATCGATATTTTTGAACTCGATGGTTAATTTGTTTGTTGAATATATATATATATATATTTATTACAAACATGATTTTCCATTGTAAATATAGATCTTAAACAGGTGAGGTAGAAGGTTTTACAAAACAAGCACATGTTTCTTTGATGGAGTCTGGATACCATTTGATGCATTTTCCGCCTAGAAATTGTGAGTCAATGCATGTTTGATTGCAGTCCCGAATCTGCAAACATGGACCTATGGGAATTAGCTTACTCCTATCTTCAGCTTCCACAAGATCTGTGTTTATACGTTGGAAATATATATTAGTGAATTATATAGAAACATACAGAGAGAATCACATTAACACATATATATAGATCTCTCTTTTGGTTTGTTACAAATACAAAACCAAGAAACCGCATATCAATAGAGAAATCCAAAAGTGAGAATCTAATTTTTCTTACATGGAGTCAAGAGAGCAGCCAAGCAGAAGAACACAAAGAAAAAGCATTTGCTTGATGAATTCATTTTGTTTCTGTTTCTATTTGCTTTGTGTTTTCTTTTCTTTTTTTTTCGTTTTTGCTTATGAGATCGAATAGTTTCTTATATATCATTTCTCAGAATATATATAAATTGTTGTTTATTTATATGTTATATTTGGTATAATTTGCTATTGACTGAAAGTCATAGATACTATTAGCTTTGACTACTTGTTATGTACTTACTAAATTTAAAGATTTTTTTTCTAGTCAAATATTTTTCTCTTTTTAATTTTGAATTGAAAATGAATTAAGTAGTTTATGAAGAGACATATTAGGTAAGTAGTTTATTAAAATTATGTATTTACAAATCTTTACCAACATATATTGTATATATGGATTAATGTTTTATTTATATGCATACAAGGTATAATAGTCAATTAGTCATACTATTTATTATTTGCCATCTTTTTCAAAACAGATAATATTAAATTTTGTTATTTTGTTATTGGACTTCAAAAGTTCCACTATACAGTTATTAATTCCACCAACGTAACGTTAAAACTTAAAAGGCTGAATAATACGTACGTTTTCATTTTTCTTCGTCTTAATTAATATATTATGCCACAATCATCTAGTATGATCATTATATGTGACAAACCTTTCAGCTTAATTTCTAATTAACATGCGATCACGTACATGATTTACAACATAACTCTTCATTAATGCAAATGCACTAACATCATAATTTAATTCAATGTCAATTACGTTTCATTCTTCTACTATAAAAGGGACCAAAATCAATTCTTCCTTATAAAGGTTTCTGTCATATACAAAAAATATGAATCACATCAAACAACTTTTTTTGACAATCTACATATCTCTAGCCATAACATACCAAGATCATGTCTTAGCCAGCATCGCCACGACGAGAGACATCATAGTTCCAAAGATTTCCGAGTGGCAAGTCACGGTGGTTAACGGTTTGACTACTAGTGAAATTCTTTTCATCCATTGTAAATCTAAGGAAGATGATCTAGGTGAAATTAGTTTGAGGCCTAGAGATAGATTTTCTTGGAACTTTGGAGAAAATATGATTCACTCAACTTTGTTTTGGTGCTATATAAGCAAAGATGATGGTCATATGAATGTAAAAGTATTTTGGGATGATGTTATTTTGTTCCATAGATGTGGTTGGAAGACTTGTGTTTGGACCGCAAAGACTGATGGTCTTTATCTTTGGAATTATGCGAGCGGTGAAGATGTATTGTCGGAGAAATGGGAAGTTGGATGGTGAAGACATATTTTTTTTTTTTTTTCATTTTTGGTAATTTTCTTATATGTTTCTTGTTGATTTTGTCAGAAAAATCTCGCTAAAATAATTAAAAAATTGTCATAAACTGCTTGTTTAATTTTTGTTCTTTCTTACCAATGATAGATTTTTCTTGTTACTTTTTTCTTTGGGTTCAACAAGATCTTCATTAAATAAATTACACATGGAAATTATGAATAAAAAAAACAACCACACATCTTAATATTAAGTATGCGACATTCTCCACCTAATGGATCTCTTAATTCTTCTTTACAATGCTTATTGCAGTCCGGAAACATTGAGCATGGACCTATAATACCGAACCTTCTTTGAGCATCATTAACTTTGAGCATAGACTTTGCGCAAACTTCACCTTTTTATTTCAATTTTCGAAAAGAAAGAAAGTTATTGGACATATAACCCAAAAAAAAAATAAAAAGAGAAACCAGACACAAATTAGTGTAATATCACAATGTATTGTCACAGTAAAAACGTGTGCAATAAGTTAACCTATACATATATATGTTGGAGATACGATACATGAATCTTGCTCTTTTAGTACTTCATATATAAATTAATCAAGAAAACATAAAATGCTTTGTTGGCGTACTTTGGGTGAGAAGAACTGCAAGACATAAGAACACAAGGAAGACACATTTGCTTGATGAAGCCATTTTGTTTTTGTTAAATATTATTTGCTGATGATATTGAAAAGTACTTCAAATCCTTCAGTACTAATGTATATATATATATATATATATGCTATATATATGTATATATATGCTATATATTTCCTTATATAAATGAAATTGGATTCTCTTTTAAATTTAGGATATGTTACTACATTGGGTAATGGATTTTTTTATGTTTATAATATATGCTGATTAAATTGAAGAATACTAAAAATCCTTCACCAATAGAATATATATAAATTATATATACTGTATTATTTTATAGAGAAATATAATGTGTTATATTTGTTTTGTAAATGAAATTGGATTCTCTTTTACATATACACTCTATAATTTAGAATATGTTAATTAATAACTACATTGGGTTATGGCTTTATTATACATATATATAAGTACTTTTAGTTATGATATGTGATAGGTTTAATTTAGTTAGTGCTGATTATAGGATTAAGATCAAATATTTTGCTATTAATTTAATATTTTGTATGAATTACAAATAGTCATAAATAATTTGACTCATAATTATTATATATTTTATCACCCAAAATAAAAACGAAAAACTTCTAAAACAAAGATAGGCTTGACGAATTATACAAACTTAACCATAACATTTGGTTAGCAATTTCACAAGAACAACTTAACTGTTTCCTTCGATTGTCTTGATTTTAATTGTTTATGGACTATTCAAGACAATGGTTAGCTGCTTTAAAAATTATAACTCACTGTATATGTTTTAGATTGATCTATATACGAGATTCACTATGATTCAATTCATTTTTGGATTTTCGAGAGATCCTTTAATGTTTTATTTGAGTGTAAACCACATTAATTAAGAATATCAAACCATGCATGTACACTGATCAATGATCATGATACTTATGAAAATTTTATGTATCTTTATTTTATGTTACTTCATTTGTCAATCTTTTTTAAAATTAGTATCATCATAATTATTAGTTACTCTCTTTTTTTTTTTGGCAGAAGTAATTAGTACTTTATATCATAATTTAAAGGTCATTGGTCAACCAGTCTCATTTGTCATCACAAATAAAGCACACATATTCTTATTTTAGGTAAATAATTTATTTTATTATTTAAATCAGTCAAATGGTATCATAAAACAAAGTCAAAACATAAATTTATGGACAAATATGTTTGATTGTATTTTGTGTGTAATATATATATATATAAGTAGTGGTACCATATTTTTATTTCATATATGTAACAAAAATTATTACAAATTTTTCTGAATGGGAAAATCTTTGTTATTTTTGGTTCTTGTACTCATTTCTTTTGATTCTATAAATTCTGTAACGAGGTCTATTCTTTTCAGAAAGTATCACATCGAAATTGTAAATCAGCTTAAGTTTCACAAGAAATTGAAAGTTCATTGCAAGAGTAAAAGTCATGATTTTCCAATTACCTATCTTAACATAGGCGAAAATTTTCAATTTAAATTTATAATTTATCCAACAACTCAGTATTGGTGTAATTTGTGGCAGGTAATTTGTTTTTTAGTTTCTTATATATTTACATATATTTAGGTACATTAATTAGGGATGAGTATTTTGTTTTGGTTGTATTATCGATTAATTTTAATTTTTATGGACTAAAACCTGCTTTTGAATTTGTTAGTTCAATTAAAAAGTTTTTTGTTGTCACATGTAATATTAAAACTCTTTTTATGGATTTGAATAGGTTGACTGGATTTTCAATTTTGGATTCCTTTTTTTTTTCATTTTATATATAATCTGTTAAATTCATTAAAAAGTTTGGTTAATTTTCAATATATTGTTGTCTCTACTGTAAAATTAAAAAATATTTATTTTTGTGTTTCAGGGACCAAACTATGAACATCATGTAGTTGTTAATGTATTCCATTCAGACGTATATTTCATAGATCATACATGTAATGGAATGCATCCCAATGTGTGTAAGTGGACTGCAAAAGAACAAGGAGTGTATGTCCATCACACCCAAGAAGAACATTTCATGTATGGATGGAGTACTCCAACAAATCAAAGAGAAATTACTCCAGTCTGTGCACCTACACCAGAATTTGATTCATACATCTAGTACAAAAATTAAAACTAACTATATAATTATGTGCAATCTTGGGATCATTGTATCATATTGCATCATGTTGAAGAGAATAATAATAAAGATTTAAGAGCTCAACTTCAATTTGAGATAAATTCTGATATTATAGTATGATTTAATGTTTTAATTCATAAATGTATTATTTATTTAATACAATATTACTCTTAAAAGTATGATTAAAAACCAAAAAGAGTCAAAGCATTAAATATAGATAACAATGTAAAGTTTGTAAAATCAATGGAAAGAAATCTATATAAAAAAACTTAGCAAAAACATATGAGCAAAAAAATTTGTTTCTATGTTCAATTTAGTGTATGCAGATATATATTAGATATTAGACATTGTTTCATATCTATGCCCATGAAAAAATTATATTACATTTTAGAGAAAATGAGAAAATGTTTGTTAATGTTTTTTTCTAATCCTCCTTTCCTTTGATTAATTAAACTCTTATTTAATGCTTTGTATGTAAACAAATAATTCTAATCTTATTATATTTACAAAATATTATTAATCTTAAAAGCTAAAGGGTTATAACTACTCCTCTCTATAAAAGTATGTAAACTATGTATTTGTTTACTCAAAACGTTTATAGCATAAATCTTCAGTTATTTTATGAGAATGTTTAATACCTTTAGTTATGTTAAATTTTGAAATTATTCTAAAAGTAATTTAAACAATATTGGTTTTCCAAAAAAAAAGTTGTGAAATTTTTATTTAATAATTTTCTTAAATTTTAAATATTTTTAATTCTAATTAAGATATGATCTGATATGATGCATAGATTATGTTTGTAATACTTATTAGCTCTAATCCATTAAGATTGAGTGAATAAACATTAATTTTTTAATTATTATTTTTTCTTAAATTTTACTTATTTTTAGCTCTAACTTCTAAGTAAGATATAGATTTGATATGATGCATAGATTATGATTGTTATACTTTTTACCTCTAATCCATTAAGATTGAGTGGATAAACATTAAAATATGCTTTATTATGATTATATACATAAATAGTTAAATTGCATTAAAAATATAAATTATGAGATTGAAATCAGGATTTTAAAACCACCAAAAATGCATATATTATTATTTAATTTTCATAAATAATCAGTATATTTATTTATTTCATATTTTAGATAAGCTGGCCTTATCTAGTTATATATAAGAACATGTTAACATTAATATTTTCATACTCATAACCAAAAGTTTCTTGCATTTGAGATATATTTTAGGAAATGGGAAAATTTTTGCTAAGTTTTTTTCTTATATGCATTTCTTTTTATTCTATACACTCTAGATTATTGCCTCCTCTATTTTCAAAATTCCGTGTCGAAATTAAAAATGAGCTTAAATTTCACAAAAAACTCGAAGTTCATTGCAAAAGTGCTACTCACAGTTTCGCATTTACCCGTCTCAATATCGGTCAAAGTTTTTGGTTTACATTTACTATATTCCCACAATCTCAATACTGGTGTAATTTATGGCAGGTAATAAATATATTAAATTTTATACTTCCTCTATTCCTAAAAGATAATTTTTCTAGGTTTTTTACACATATTAGAAAAACATCTAAACTTTGATGATAATTTCATCATGTGTTTGTGATTCACAGTTTTTAGAATTCTGAATCAATAATAGTTACTTATTTATTTTAAATTTTGTAACAATGCATTGATAACTTAACAATTATGTTTTTGAAACAAATCTTATCTTTAAAAAAAATCATTTTTGGAACAGAGAAAGTATATTCTCATGCACAAGAAGGAGTAATGACTGTGGGCATTTGTTTTTTGTTTTTTTCTTAATTGTAAAATTTAATTGAATAAAACCTTTCCTGAATAAACCCAACAAAATAAATATAATTATCGTACATACTATTATATTTTTTTCTGTGGAGTTAAGCACAGGTTGACTAAAACCTTTTAAACTACATTTAATTGTGGTCTGATTTATTGATGTTATATAGCATGCTCATTTGATTTAAATTTTGTTTGTTTAATATATTTTGATCCACTTTAATTCAACAACTCATCCTAATATATAGTACTACTGTATACTTAACTCCTATAAAATTAATCTTGTTTTTTTTTTTTTTTAATGTTTTGTGTTTCAGGGACCAAATTTCAAACACCAAGTGGCTTTTTACGTATTTATTCTAAAAAATGAGTTTATAGATGAAACATGTACGGGAACATTCCCTAATGTGTGTAAATGGAGCGCAAGAGAAGATGGAGTCTATGTCCACAACAGAAAATCACCTGCAGGAGAGTTCATGTTTAAATGGGATGCTCCAACGAACCAAACTAAAACTCTCTCCACTGAATCTGTATTTGATTCACAGATCTAACTAAAAACTCTAAAACCAGTTTAATCAATCATATGATGTTCTAATTAAGCTTTGTATCATTGGACCATGCGAGAGAGTATTTAATTATTTATAATAAAAGATCGTCTGTTGGTTTCATTTACAAGCCCAGCCTCTATGTGGGCTTATTACTTTATATTGCGGCCCAATAATAAAAATAAAAGTTAAAATTAAAACATTTCTTCTTCCCAAAGCCAAAAATCTCAGTACAAGAGAGAAGAAGAACGAAACCTCAAAGAAACTCAGAAATCGAGCGAAGAGAATCATGGGGCAAGGACCATCCGGAGGATTGAATCGGCAAGGAGATCGGAAACCTGATGGTGGAGATAAGAAAGAGAAGAAGTTTGAGCCGGCGGCACCACCGGCTCGTGTCGGAAGGAAGCAGCGGAAGCAGAAAGGGCCTGAGGCGGCGGCGAGACTCCCGACGGTGACTCCGTCTACTAAGTGTAAGCTCAGGTTACTGAAATTGGAGCGGATCAAGGATTATTTGTTGATGGAGGAAGAGTTTGTGGCGAACCAGGAGAGGTTGAAGCCTCAGGAAGAGAAAGCTGAGGAAGATAGATCTAAGGTTGATGATCTTCGTGGTACGCCTATGAGTGTTGGGAATTTGGAAGAGTTGATTGATGAGAACCACGCAATTGTTTCTTCCTCTGTTGGACCTGAGTACTATGTTGGGATTTTGTCGTTCGTTGATAAAGATCAGCTTGAACCTGGATGTTCAATTTTGATGCATAATAAGGTATGTGAAGTTAGGTTTAAGATTCTTATCTTGGTGATATTACGATATTGTATTGTTGCAGTTTAGGGTTTCTCTCAGTTATGTTGTCCCATTACTGAGATGTTCGGATTTTTGTGTGTGTGTTAGGTTCTCTCTGTTGTTGGGATTCTACAAGATGAAGTGGATCCAATGGTGTCTGTGATGAAAGTTGAGAAGGCTCCTTTGGAGTCATATGCTGATATTGGAGGTTTAGAAGCTCAGATTCAGGAGATTAAGGAAGCAGTTGAGCTTCCTCTGACTCATCCTGAGTTGTATGAAGATATTGGTATTAAGCCTCCCAAGGGTGTGATTTTGTATGGTGAGCCAGGCACTGGGAAGACATTGCTTGCTAAGGTTTGTCTTTCTACTTTAATCTCATGAGTATTAGTATATGTTAGAACTTAGATGTATAGCCAGAAGATTTTTCTTATAATCTAGACATTAGATCATAGCCAGAAGGATTTGTTCGTAAATGTGACTTTTAAATCACTTGTTTCTATTAATGGCTTCCTTTCTCGTTTCTCTCTGTGACAAGCATGAGAGATTGTTGCAGTTTGGTGGCTAATTTTATGTTTCACGCATGTTCTTACTCTACTTTTGAACACTGTTGAAGTGAGCTCTTATGTCCTTGTTTTATTTCAGGCGGTGGCTAATTCTACATCAGCTACTTTCTTGAGAGTTGTTGGTAGTGAGCTGATTCAGAAGTATTTGGGAGATGGTCCTAAGCTTGTGAGGGAACTTTTCAGAGTTGCCGATGATCTTTCACCATCAATTGTTTTCATAGATGAAATTGATGCTGTTGGTACCAAGCGGTAAGTCAAACTTTCACACAAACATGATAACTAGTTGACAGCAGTAGACTTTAGAATGGTATCTGATTAAAGCATGTTTAAATAAAAAGGTATGACGCTCACTCAGGAGGTGAACGTGAGATCCAAAGAACTATGTTGGAACTTCTGAACCAGCTTGATGGGTTTGATTCAAGAGGAGATGTTAAGGTCATCCTTGCAACAAACAGAATCGAGAGTCTTGACCCGGCACTGCTTCGACCTGGAAGGATTGATAGGAAAATTGAGTTCCCTCTTCCTGATATCAAAACAAGAAGACGTATCTTCCAGGTAACTAATTCTTTTTGATACATCATAAATTAATGGCTTGTTCAGAAGTTTATTTTCTAATCGAATTTGTTGGTTTTTTAAATAGATACACACATCAAAGATGACTCTCTCGGAAGATGTAAACCTGGAAGAGTTTGTGATGACAAAAGACGAGTTCTCAGGAGCTGATATAAAGGCTATATGCACTGAGGCTGGTCTACTTGCCCTCAGGGAGCGTCGTATGAAGGTAAAGACTCTGAACCATTCAAATCAAACCATACACACACTACTTGTGGAAATCACTAGCCACTGACTCTAATGTTTGGGTTTTTATTTTGGTTCCATTCAGGTGACGCATCCAGATTTCAAGAAAGCAAAGGAGAAGGTTATGTTCAAGAAGAAAGAAGGCGTCCCTGAAGGCCTCTACATGTAAAATCATAAACATATCGTCATCTTGAATTCATCCTCTACACTTTGTTTTATACATTTGCTTCTGCCTAGGATCTTTCAGGTCTTATAAATTGATCATGCTTTTTCTGATCTCGTTCAATATAACAATTCCTCAGTTTCCAATTCGGATGCCTACTTTGATCTAAACCAAAGGAAATGAGAAGTGAGAATAAGTACCCGAAAAGGAAATGAAATATATCTTATTCTTTTTAAGTCTATAACAAAGGCACAAAGCTAGGGGGAAAAAACAACAAAGGAACAAAGCTTTCTTTATCAAACTCTTCAAAATTCTCCCTTTGATAAAAAGTAGATTTATAGTTTCAATAATTTTGTAAGTTTGCAAATACAGTTTTCTATCCACAAATCGAAAGTGGCATTATTATACATGTAGGACGTGAAAGAACATAATTCAAAGTTACCAAGTAGGTAATCTTTTTAGCGCCCATGCGAGACAAATGGTTCTGTAAACGTCACCGTAGCCACCGAACAAGGCCCTGCAAGGGACTCAGCTGCTTCACTGAAGCCTTCAATGGTACCAACGTTTTCTCGAGCTTTCAAAATGTCAAGCAAGTTGTCTGGTAGCTGGGCCACACCGTCCAAGAACTTGATGACGCTTGACATGCTTGGTCTGACGGCTGGAACCGGATGCGCACAGAGCAAGCCGAGTTTCAGAACCAATGTCACTTGCTCCTCAAGGTACTTATTATCATGCTTAACCCTATCATCAACCACTTGCAATATGTTCTCTTCCCAACAATCTAGCACCCAATCAGTAAGAACAATCTCGCTCGGCAAAGATGCTCGTGGCAAGACAGGTCTTCGCCCGCAAGTAATCTCTAACATGAGTACCCCAAACGCAAACACATCAGAGCTTGTGCTTGCCTTCCCTGTTCTTGAGAGCTCTGGTGAGATGTATCCAAATGTACCAGCCACGTTAGAGGTTTGAAGATCAATCCCGTGATCACAAAGCTTCGCGAGACCAAAATCGCCGAGCTTTCCGTTCATAGAATTATCAAGAAGAATGTTTGCTGGCTTAATGTCTCTATGAATAATCACTTGAACCCATTGTTGGTGTAAATAGCAGAGACCAGAAGCAACATCTTTGATAATCTTGTATCTTTGTGACCAATCAAGACTCTGTTCTGGTTGATGGTAGAGGAACTTATCAAGACTTCCTTTTGGCATACAATCGTAGACCAAATAGAGTTCGCCTTTGCGCCTACAATAGCCAAGAAGCCTAACTAAATTAGGATGTCTGAGACGCCCAATGGTCGCGATCTCGGCCACAAATTCTCTCATTCCTTGTCTGGAATCATGAGAAACTTTCTTCACCGCAATGTCTATGTTAGAATTCAAGAATGTGCCTTTGTAGACTTTTCCAAAGCCTCCTTTACCAAGAAGCTCACTGTTCTTGAAACCCTTTGTGGCAATGAAAAGATCCTTGTAAGCAAACTTATGTGGACCAAACTGAACCTCCCAGTCTTCAATAACTTCTATTAACTTCTTCCTTTTCAAGAAAAGCATGATACTTATGATTAAAAACACGAGGACAGCGAGGCCCGTTAAACTTAAACTGATAGCCAAGACCTTTCTCAGACTACTCGGAGTGTCTGTTTGAAAGTCATCAGGAAGTTTTGGAAGACGAGAAATATCTAGATTTGGAGCCGTCCCATTGAGCTTAAACGTCCAACCAAGAATATAGTGGGATGAAAGAACAGAGCCTGTGGATGACGTGAAGCCAACGTACATACGCTCGAGGAGATATGGCGATAAATCTCTGGTTAGAGAAAGCAGTGGAGTCTTTGGCTTGGAAACATGAATAGGATGAATTGTGACATCAAGCTGTTTTCTCGTGGAATCATATTCAATCCAGGCTTGTATGGGTTTTCGATTTATAAGAGAGATATTTTTAAAAGTACCATCGTCTTCGTAATAACCTGCTGTATTAGCCTTCTCTGAAAACAAGCTGTTGATGTCGATACCAACATGGTTATCATCTATGTCACCAAATTCTAGGCTTAGGATTGTATCAAACTCAACTGCTACAACATGATTTGAGGAATTTCCATTGTTTGTGATATTAAAGAGCCCCATATATTGTGAGGGATAACCATAGGGCAAGCCTTTGGTTGGACATATGGCAAAAGCAATTCCATGGCCACTAATTGTTGGAATCTGTGAGATTATTGCAAAAACAAATGTGGTGGAGAAGGAAGAAACGGTACCGTTTGGCGAGTTCTTGAACCGTACTGGTAAATTGTAGAAAACTTGACCAGTTTTTTTTACTGTATAATTTGAAAGCTTCAATAAGCCATTGGAGTCGAGATAGGCAGTTCCATAGCTGTTGTATAAGTAACCATTGAAGCCAAACTCTCCTTCTTCACTCTGAGAAACAGTTCTGTTGGAGAAGAGTTGCAGCAGAAGAAGCACTAGCACAAACATATTCATAGCACAAACTCTCCTTCTTCACTCTGATGATTGATCTTAGTAGTTACTATACGTTTTTGGTCTGAAAAATAACTACAAATATGCTCTACCTTTAGGACTCTTCAGTCTTCACATAGCAACAACGACTTGAAGAGTTCAAAACTAAAGTCTTTGTGATACGCGTTTTCCAGAAATCAAAAGCCAGACATAGAAAAGGACGCGAACAGAGCATTGCTTGTTCAATGGGCCTAAATATTATTTGTCACATAATGGGCCTTAGTATCAAGCCCATAAAGCCATATTGGGCAAATCGACTCAGCTTGAGTTGAGCCGATTGATGGAGAGGAGAGGAGAGGAGAGAGAGATAAAAAGACAGTCATCTGGTATGTAATCTTCGAAGACTCTTATCTCCTCTATCCACCAACAAGAGGGAAAACACAAACAAAAGAAACACAGGAGAGACAAAAATGAGATAAGGATTTGAAGCCTCTCACCACTTCCCTGGTTTCTCGTTAGGCTTATTTTTCAAACTCGAAACTTATCTATTTTTCTGGCTTTCACCTTTTCTGGGAAAATTTTCTCAGAGCAAGGCGAGCTTAAAGGTAGCTCCTTTTCATAGTTTTGCTCAAATGGGTTTCTTAGTAATTCTTTGTATGTTTTCGTGATAAGATACTCCGAAATTTACTAGCTTTCTTTTGAGGAGATGGGAATTTAAGTTGTTTAGTTAGACTGCAATGAAATTTCAATTCGAATTGAAAAAAACAAAGAGTGCTCTTTTCCTTTTATGTTTCAATTCTGTGTTGTTTTCTGAGGAAAGCTTGCAATTTTTGACAGTGTGTAATGGCTTTTATGTGTAGGTGACAGTTTTTAACCATGGCGACGATCACACCTTCTTCTATTAGCAATGCCTGGCTCATTCCCGGAGCTGCTTTTAGTGTAAAGAAGAATGATTGCTCCATCAAATGTAGTTTTTCGCGCAAAGATGGGAAACAGAATCTATCATCAACGCAGAGACTAGTCTTGCCTTTGTCGACTTCACTTAGATTGTTTCCTACTCATGGAAGGCAGTTTGTGTTGCATCCTCATCGTAGAGCCACGGAGACTGATGTTGTGGCGGCAGTAGAGGAACAAGATTCTACTCCTGTTGCTGCGGACGTGAAAGAAACTGTGGCTAGTGAGAAGTCAGATGCTCCTTCTACAACATCTCAGTCAAGGGGAACAGCAAGACCTGGGAGGAAGAGTGAAATGCCTGCAGTTAAGAACGAGGAGCTTGTTCCTGGTGCTACTTTCACTGGGAAAGTACGAGCGATTCAGCCCTTTGGTGCTTTTGTTGATTTTGGTGCTTTCACCGATGGATTAGTCCATGTGTCTCAGTTGAGTGACAACTTTGTCAAGGATGTTTCGAGTGTTGTCACTATTGGGCAAGAGGTGAAAGTAAGGCTAGTGGAAGCTGACATTGAGACAAAACGTATTTCTCTTACTATGCGTGAGAATGACGATCCTCCCAAACGCCAGTCCGGTGGTAGTGATAAGCCGAGATCAGGAGGGAAAAGGGATGGTTCAAAAGGAGGACCGAGGAAGGGAGATGGCTTTAACTCAAAGTTTTCGAAAGGGCAGATGTTGGATGGAGTGGTGAAGAATTTAACGAGGTCAGGAGCGTTTATAACTATAGGAGAAGGTGAAGAAGGGTTTTTACCAACGGCTGAGGAAGCAGATGATGGAATTGGAAGCATGATGATGGGTGGCTCTTCGTTGGAAGCTGGACAAGAGGTTAAGGTTCGTGTGTTACGCATAGCTAGGGGACGTGTTACTCTAACAATGAAAGAGGAAGACGATGGTAAGTTTGATGAAACAACCACTCAAGGAGTTGTGCATACAGCCACGAATCCATTTATGCTTGCTTTCCGTAAGAACGAAGAGATTGCTGCGTTTCTTGACAAGAGGGAGGAAGAGGCAGAGAAGCAACCTGCTGAGAAACCAGTAGAGCCTGAAGCTGAAGCCTCTGTCACTTCAGGTGAAGTTGAGGAATCGTCATCTGTCTCAGCTGTAGTAACAAGTGAAGAGGTTCCCTCATCAGAAACTCCCAAGATAGAAAAAGAAGAAGAAGTGATAGCGAGCAAAGCTGAAGATGATCTGCCAGAAAAAGAAGAGCAGACGGAAACAATTGCTGCAGCAGCTGAGGCTGAGGATGTGGTTCCTCCAATTCCAGAAACCAAAAGTAGGTTTAATTGCCTTCTATCATATTGAATCATTTAATTGTTTTAATGTGTTATGACATTGACCCTTTTCTACTAATGGTGGCCAGGTGACGAAGAAATTGTTGAGAACTCTATTCCTCCAAATTCAGCCACTGATGAAGTTTCATCTTCAGAAACTGTAGAAAGTGAAGAGGTTGAGGAAGTGGTGGCCGAAGCACCTGTTGCTGAAGCAGAGACTCCTGCCTCTGTTGTCCCAGAATCTTCTTCTGAGGAAAGTGGCAACACCACTACTGCAGATGAAAGCATCCAAGGTCGTTTTTCTGTCTATCTTTTACCTGTTTTACTTCCTGAATCATGACCAAATGGTTTATGTGAGTTTCCATCTCCTAACACAAAATGCAACAGGCATTTCACCAGCTCTAGTGAAACAGCTCAGAGAAGAAACCGGGGCAGGAATGATGGACTGCAAGAATGCTCTCTTGGAGAGTGAGGGTGATATGGTCAAAGCTCAGGAGTACCTCCGCAAGAAGGGACTAGCAAGCGCAGACAAGAAAGCAAGCAGAGCTACAGCTGAGGGAAGAATAGGTGCTTATATCCATGACAGCAGAATTGGTGTCCTCTTGGAGGTTAATTGTGAGACTGATTTTGTCTCACGCGGTGACATTTTCAAGGAGCTTGTTGATGATCTGGCAATGCAGGTACCTCCAAGATTCTAGCTGAAACATTTTCTTCATTTTGATATAACTGAGAACATTACTCGACCTGACATGTTAGGTGGCTGCGTGCCCTCAAGTAGAGTACCTTGTAACCGAAGATGTTTCTGAAGATATTGTGAAGAAGGAAAAAGAGATCGAAATGCAAAAGGAAGATCTTTTGTCGAAACCCGAGCAGATAAGAGAGAAGATAGTTGAAGGTCGGATAAAGAAGAGACTAGATGCACTTGCATTGCTTGAGCAACCATACATTAAAGACGATAAGGTGATAGTGAAGGATCTTGTAAAGCAGAGGATTGCAACAATTGGTGAAAACATCAAGGTAAAGAGATTCGTGAGATACACTCTCGGAGAAGGTCTTGAGAAGAAAAGCCAGGACTTTGCTGCTGAGGTTGCTGCTCAAACTGCAGCTAAACCGAAAGCTAAAGAAGAGAAAGAACAGCCAAAAGCTGAAGAGGTCAAGGAAGCAAGGTGAGATGTGTTTAAATCTTTGCTATTCTTGACATAAGTTCTTAAAAGTTTTTGGCTATAGAAAATTAAAACTTTTTGCACTACGGCTCTGCAGTCCACCAGCTACAGCGGTTTCAGCTGCTCTTGTGAAGCAACTGCGTGAGGAGACAGGAGCTGGAATGATGGACTGCAAGAAGGCATTGGCAGAGACAGGAGGAGATCTTGAGAAAGCACAAGAATTCCTAAGAAAGAAGGGTCTCTCATCAGCTGATAAAAAATCAAGCCGGCTTGCAGCAGAAGGGAGAATCGGCTCATACATCCACGATTCCCGGATTGGAGTTTTGATTGAAGTGAACTGTGAGACAGATTTTGTCGGAAGAAGCGAAAAATTCAAGGAATTGGTTGATGATCTTGCAATGCAAGCAGTGGCTAATCCACAGGTAAGAAAATGGCTGAGCTGAAAATGTGACTAAAACAATGGTTGGTGGTCTCTGATTTGAAATGTCAATACTGCGCAGGTGCAATATGTTTCGATAGAGGACATTCCAGAGGAGATAAAGCAAAAAGAAAAAGATATTGAGATGCAAAGAGAGGATCTTTTGTCAAAACCAGAGAACATAAGGGAGAAGATTGTTGAAGGGAGGATCTCAAAGAGGCTTGGAGAATGGGCATTGCTGGAGCAGCCTTTCATTAAAGACGACAGTGTTCTGGTTAAGGATCTGGTGAAGCAAACGGTGGCTACTCTTGGCGAAAACATCAAAGTGAGAAGGTTTGTGAAGTTTACTCTTGGAGAAGATAACTGATGAGACAAATTAAAGTTTTCAAATAAGGGAGCTCTGTTTTTTGTTGTCATGGAGTTATAAGCAAAAGCCTTCCTTTTTGTTTTGTAGACAAATTATTCAGTATTCACTTTTGATTAGTTTTTAATCAAAACCTGTAATTTTTTGTTCATGAAAAGATGAAATTTTTGCATTCTAAACAAATCATTCAGTGACATTAATACTGATTAATTTAATATTGGTTTATACATTATGAAATCTTAAACCTTATTACAGAAAAAAGAAAAAATGTCGAAGTTCTCATCCGGGCTAAAAGGTCGGTCGGCCCACTTGAAAGTTAAGCCCAATATAACTTAGGATTGGGATAGAGCTGTTTCCGAGGTTGTAATTTAATTCAAGGAAAAAAACAAAAACCTGCGTCTGTCTTCTTCTTCTCGCAGCATCTCTTCTGTTAATTTCCAGCAGAGGTTCGTGAACATTCCAATCTCAATGCAAGCTCTCTTGAATTATCCTTTTGTGTTCTTTTTACCTTTTTCGAGATCCGATTTAATGTTCTATTCTTGTCGTTTCTAGGTTTTCATGGTTTTGGGAAGTGATCTTTCGCAATTTTGAAACTTTATTAGAATCGTTTGAATCATAGTTTTATGTTGGTCAGACTTGAAATTGGGTTTGAATTTTCGGTGTATTGAGATCTACTTGGTTTAAAGCTACTCTCTTTTGCATGATTTTGAGTTTATTCCTATCTAAATTAAGAAATGCAGTTTCGAAAAAAAATAAAACTTGTTTTTGTGTCTAGATCACTTTGCATGGCTTTTTCATAACTCCAAGATACTTGAGAATTTCAAGAAAAGTAAAATTACTAGTTCTTTACTGCATCTCGGGAGCCAGGCTTCTCAACCAATTGATAAGCATTTGGCATAGTAAAGATGATTTCACATAGTGATCTGCATCATTTTTTCTCTTTGATACTTTGTTGCTGAAGTCATTGTATGCTTGTTTTGTTGTTTACAGATGAATTTTGGGTTGCCGAGAATTTCTTGGTTTGGCAGCATCAGCTCGAAGAAGGATGGAGCTATGGTTGAAACCATGACATCGAAGACGTCTCTTGTGGAACAGCCAGAGCAAGAGAAACCGACAATGTCTATCTTGGAACAGCCAGAGAAAGGGAGTTCGACAATTTCTATCGTGGAACAGCCAAAGCAAGGGAAAGGATTATTTGATATCAAATTATGGACCTGGTCCTTTAGTTCAGCTCTTCCTTGGGCTGGAAATGCAGGTGATGGAAAGCAGAAGCCTACTACTATAAATAGAGGGTTAAAAAGGCATGCCCTTTCTCGAAGGTCCTCAAGATCAAACAATGGTGTGAATACTGTTTATCGGTTTAGACCTTATGTTTCAAAGGTTCCGTGGCACACAGGGACGAGGGCGTTTCTCTCACAGCTTTTCCCGAGATACGGACATTATTGTGGACCCAACTGGTCTAGTGGGAAAGATGGGGGTTCGATGGTATGGGATCAGAGACCTATTGACTGGTTAGATCATTGCTGTTACTGCCATGATATTGGTTATGATTCTCATGACCAGGCAGACTTGCTAAAAGCTGACATAGCATTTCTTGAGTGTTTGGAATCAAACAAGCGCATAGTTACAAGGGGAGATGCTCAAGTTGCTCATTTTTACAAAACAATGTGCATAACAGGTAACTGCAATGTCTTTATGTTTCCCTCTGTGACATGTTGGATCTTAGTCATTAGGTCAGTATGCCATTATATTCATGTGGTTCAGTACCCTATCTAATATGATGTAAAATGTGGGATTTCATAGCTGCCATTATTATTCTGATATTAGTTGTGATTTCTGATAATAGCTGTCTATATATCTTGAAACCATCTATCTTGAAATCTCTCAGGTCTTAAGAGCATACTAATACCCTACAGAAGCTACCTTGTGAAGATACAATACAGGCAAAATTTACTCGACTTTGGCTGGATATTGAGCAACCTCAGCAAGAGAAGCTGGAGTTTTCAGAAGAATTGAGACATAATGAAGCATATCGGAGTTACTCTGCAATCCCGGGCCTTTCCGGTATCTTCGCTATCGTATTGTACATAGAAGTTGTAAAGAGAAGGAATCTGAGGATTAGGTTCGGTAGATATATGAAAATGTGGAAACGCTAGTAAGTGGTGTGTGTCTTTTAAACCCGTTGTATATGTTTGGTAATAATATGATCCGATCATTTTGTTTGAACGCAATAACTCTATCAGAAGATCTATATATCTGCGTGAAAAGTCTCTGGACTAGATTTTGCACTTTGCATCATTGAGATACACTGTTTGATTCCCCATTGGCTAACAAAATACCAATCCGGGTAGATATAACAACATTGAAAACGTCACCCGGGTTACACACTACCAACCTTTTATACATATGAATTATGAAGTCTTCCTTGGCAAACACACATATACAAACCCATATGATCTACTAGATTGATTAGAGACAGAAGAGGAAGATGCCTTATTAAAGCTTAGTAGAGGCTGTTTTAAGAAAGGTCACTCCTAGCACACAAAACACAAAAATACTTCAAAACAAAATGGCTATTACATTTCTTAAAAGCATATATTTTTTCAAACATAATTATCACATAAAATGGCATTCCCTAGTTCCGGCTTCTGCACTTCTCCATCACCCTTGGAGCTGCATAGAAGAAAAAAAAAAATAGATTTGTGTAAGAAACATTGTGTCAGTGACAGTTTCTTCATATCGTGCAGTAGTAAGGTCCTAGTGTTTAAGAGCTCGGAAGGACCAGATGGCACTTTTTTCGAGTCTTTCCATTAATATGTTTCTTTTGCTGCAGACTGGTTATAGAAGCCAGCATGAACCGTAAGAACCACGAAAGTTTAGAAGGCTGTCTTAGTTCAATATGGACCACTTTCTAATACATCTTAAAACCACTACATGTGTGGAACAGATTGATCTACGTAAAACTAGATGGGTTTAGAGAAGAAAGACTAACCTAAGCCGATAGCCTCAGAGCTTTTCATGATTCTCAGCTTCTTGCAGGAGCATATAAACATTCTGCAGAGAAAAAAGACAGTAAGAGAGCTTCACTGATCATATATTCTTCTCTTAAGCTAGAAATGTTCTGAGGCCATTAGATATGATATTATAATACTAGTCACTAGATGTTATTATACAACAATATCAAGTGGTTGCGATTGATATTAGAGGTTACTTAAAGACTTACTCCCAAGGGACATCACCGACCAGCATCCAGTCACTGTCTTTATCTTCATAGGTAACAACATACTCAGAACCACGCAAGAGAACAGTCAAGCGACTCTCGTTTAACCCATCTCTGCCACACCCTCCATGAGACCCAAATTGACCTTAAAAAAAACACAAAAACACCCAAAAGAAAACAGTTACACTAACTCTATGTCACAGTTATGAAATGTTAAGGAGAAACTAGAAAACGTTACCAATGGTGAAGCAGCTAAACATCTTCTCAAGAGCGGAAGAGAGCTCAAGGTAGCTCTTGTAAGTCTTGAGATCGATTTTTCTCAAGTAAGGAGCACCTTCCATACTCACTTTGACATACAAGCAAGGTTGTTCTGGTCCAGACTTAGCCTCTGCCTCTTCTGTCTCTGAGTTATTACCTGGTTTCTGAGTTTGAGAAGATGCCATTGAGTTCTTCCTGAATGATCTAATTGGTGGCCATCCCACCACTTGTGCTCTGCTCCATCAAAAACAAAAAACATCAAAATTCTCTCTTCATAGAAATCACAAAAGCTTTTTACGTTTATAATACTCAGAGAAAAGAACGAAATCAGAGGAAAAAAAAAGAAGAAGCTTACTTTGAAGCTGGAGCTGTTGCAGAGCTCTTCTTCTCCTTAACCGGAACGGCCGGTTTAGAGAAAGCTGTAGACTTTCCATCTTTCACGACGGAGCAACCGGGACCAGAACCCGAGCCGGCATCATTAGTAGCAGTAGTGGATCCAGGAGAGAAGACCCATTTGGTAGACTCATTAATGGCGTCAGAGAACACCCTTTTGGCACCTGACACAGGACAGCTACTCTTGAGAGACAAGAATCTTGTGTCTACTCGCTCCGGTGACTCAGAACCTGGTAACCCAAGTCTCAACTCGGTTGCCTTGAAGTTCAAACCTTCGTCTTCGAGGACGTTGTGATTGTCTCTGGTTTTGGTTTTGTCAGACATTGTTGTTGCTTCCATGGTAGGAAACTCTGACAAACCTATGTAATCATGCTCTGCTGCTACAGATTCAGACATTTTTTTTCTTTCTTTCAAATAAGTATGCGGAGAAACTTTTTAAGCATTTAGTGATTACCCAAAAAAAAAAAATAACACTTTCTTGAGAGAAATGGGAAACAAAAAATTCTGAAGTTGAGATCAACTGTAAGGTTTATTTGGGGGAGAAAATGTATTAAAAGAAAAAGAAAAAAAAAAGTTGATGAGATTGAGAGCTTTATTTTTACTTTATCGTTCTTTTTTCTTGTTTTTAAATTTTGGCAGTAATCGTATTTTCCCAACAAGTGGACAAAGGTATACGTAATTTTATATTTTTGATAATATGTAATTAGAGTAAGTTATTTCCTCTTTGGGGAAAGTTTAAAGTTTAAACACACACAAATCTATCGCTGTTTAGATTAGAAAATGTTTGTTTAAAATAAAAAAATGGTATTTGGCAAATAGTTTATACATACATGGTCGTGTGTAGACAGACATCTATTCCCCGACAGGTCACAGAAAGCGTCTGTACATCTTTCTTTTTCCGCCCTTCTCTATCTCTTTATCACCGTTTTATCTTTTAAATTTTACTTTGAGAAATTACTGTTATAATATGTTTTAAGATTCGTTTCACGAGATCTAACTCATGATGATTATTTATCCGTGAAACAATCTGTACTCATTACTACTCATTAGAATTTGTTCTTAGTTGAAATGAAGTTGACTGCATGATAACTTTAATATCATTTCACCCCCAAAAGTGGAAGTTAAAATGTGATTTTTCTAGTAATGGCGTACCATTGAATCATGTACACGATAGCATAACATAACCTATAGTAGAATCAAACGGTTTTGGAGTTTAAATTTGCCAAACTAATGTTTTAAACACTAAATAGTATAGCTTATAACGAGTAGAAGACATTATTAACAAGTCGCCAATAATTGCGATGGAGGAGGATGATTAGACTACTTGCTTGGGGATGAGAAGAGAGAAGAGAATCTCGAAAGAAAGAAAAAAAAAGTGAAGGGGCCATGGGGGCTCTCATTGTTTGGTCCACCAGAAGCATGAAAAGGGGAAAGAAACAGTGAGGAGGGGTAGGTCTCTCTCTTTGCCACTTAGCCGCAGTAGCAATATTGAGCAGTGTTCCCAAAAAGAATTGTGGTCTCCACACTCCACTTTTCATTTTTATCATACTTGTGTTTTTCCCACAATCAAAGCATATATTACAATTTGACTACCTATTATTATACAACTTTTGAGAACTTGGATCAAACTCTTAAATGATCATATCAAATTTTAACTTTGCTAATATATATATATATATATATATATATATATATATATATATGCTTCTCTATCTCCAAATCTACACATTAAGTTTTCTTACCCAAGTTAATGGCTAATCTCGTGGTCCGAAATCCTTATGTTTTTTTTTTTTGTAGTTAAAAAGAAAAACATGTGTTAGGGTTTGAAACCATATCTACTTAACCAAAGACATGAGGATAATATATTATGGTGAAGGAATATATGACATGTTTTTACATCTACCAATGAATACTATCTGACTAAATCGTTTGTACCAAGGACAAGTACATAACAAGTTCAGAGACATAGAAAAAAAGACGTGTATGTTGCAGTATTACACCATGCATAGTTGAAGTATAGTAGTAATTTGGTTAAAGCCTCTCTAAGGTGGATTCATATTTGGATCTTATCTAAAGCTTTTTTAGATTTGTGTTTTAGTGTAAGTTCGAGTGTCTTAATCATAAGGTGCCTTTCTTTAACTTTTCCTTTGTCTCTCTCTTTTTTTGGGCAAGTTTTTTGTCGTTTCCATGGACATCTCATCTTATATTACACCTTAACTCACCCATCTAATCGTGCCATTAGTTTCTTACAAAGCTTCAACGTATATCGGTATATATCACTTGTTATATACTTGTTTCATTAAAAAATTACACGTAAAAGTGTTCGTTGTTCAGTTCTAGTCTTTTAATTGTTATATATTTATCAATTTTTATAACTTTTCTACTTTCTTTTTTTGAATTAGACATAAAAATTATGACTAATTGAAAAAAAAAACTATGTAATTAGTTGAAGGTCGAATGGAATAACACTAAACCTAAAAATGTTAAATCAGTGGACGACCGTACTTACAGCGTTAGTGAAAGATCGGTTTGTGTCGTAATCGAAATAAAAAGTAAAGAAAGAACAAAGAGACAGTGTGAATCTTTAGACAAAGCAGCCACTTACTTACCCTCCTTGATTTAACGTCTATACGAAGAACCTCATGCTCCATTATAATTCATAAACCTATTAGAGATCTCTTCGAATCAATCCAACGAACTGTAAATGATTAGATCGATATAATTTTTATCTGTCGTCAAATTAAACCGCATTATAAATTTATAATGGTAAGTGCCGGTTCTAATATTTCTGAACTTCGCAGTCTATATAACTGACCCGAGACTGTAAATTTTTGTTTTTCCTTCTCTTTATGTGATTTCAAACATTGTAATCATGAGATCATTTGATTTTCTTTTTAGATACATACATATGGGCTAACATTATAGAAAGTGCTTTGATATTGGGAGATTGACTTTGTCAATCAGAGTCGACGTTTCTAAGTCATAAGCCTCAATGATATAGATTTTACATATGTGCTCCTTATATGTAAATATATGCATATTGCTCTCCTCCACTATCAAGATTCTATGAAGAAAAATAATGCTTTTGCCACATGATGATATTTTATTCACCTTATTCTATATATCTAACGACCTCATGTGTGCTAATGTCTTTAAAGTTGACACAAACAATTTTGTGTGAAAAAAACAAATTAATGTTAAATGTGTTTGTATTCGACTTCAAATGGTTCTCTAGGTTACTGTTATTGAAAATGCAGTGAACTGTGTCATCAGTACTTGCATGATGCATATAATGTAATATCATATCTATCAAAATCAATCGGTTAATAATAATAGCGAATTTATGTCTCATGAAACGAGTTCCTTAAGTAGTGTAATAATAATACCGGGATTGTAAAAGTACTGTTCCATCGACACAAATTGTACTTATGTTTTTATTGCTCCTTAATCCTTAATTATAATGTCAAAACTTAGAGGCCCATGGACTGTTACTGTATTACATACATATATGTAAGAAAAATGCCCACAAAGTTATGGACTCTTGGCCCAGTAAATGAAATCAATCAAAATTATATCATTCTAAAACTTTAGGGATTGCAAAAAATAAACTCGACGCAGGAGGAGATAAATCATATATGTGTTTCTTCTCACACCAAAATATAATATATATATATATATATCTTCACCAGAAAAAAAAATATATATGATATATAAATCATATTTGTAAGCAAACTGTCAATTCTAATCGTGATATTATGATGTTTTTAACAAAATTTGTAAGGAAACAAAGTCCAAAGACGTACAAGTTTTCTGTATTTTAGTGCATACATATACTCTGAGTCATTGAGTTATATACAAAGGCTTCATTCATATTCTGCAACTCAAAAAAAAAGTGTCAACTCTAGCAATCAGTATATATCCTATATCTTGATGACAGAAAGAATGGATAACCACAAATGTTGCTTTTCTAAAGATAACAAATATAAAAGAAAATTATATTACTGATAAGTTAAAGTAATAAAGATGGTAACAATCATTCAGATAATCAAACATCTATATTTTCTATTAGTATATTTCTTGTTCCATTAATATGAGAAATACTGTAGTTACTCTCTTAAAGAAAAATGTGGACACTTGATTATTCGACGGCAACACTGGTTAAGTAAGGGGTCCTTGACTATCCAGTGAGTTGATTAAGTCAGCAATTAGTAACATATATTTATAAAACTAATACAAGTTGTCATTTAAAACTCCTTTATTTACTTAGGCCTCCATGATTTAACTTCATATGCAATCATACTAGCTTTATATAAAATATATATTTTAAAACGTGTCGGTAATTCTCTATTCTCTATCTAATACAGATTGACAAAGAAACACTCCCGTTTGTGTAAGACTATTCTACAAGGATACATTTCATAAAGAGCTATATGTATGTGAATTAATCAATTAGAATAGTTATTTTGGTTGACATAAGAGGCACTAAATATAAGGGTCAACCGCATGTCTTCTCCATAATCATAAAATTTTAAATACACAAACTTATGTTAGGTGGAGAACAAATCAAGAATTTTTTCCTGTTTTATAATATTTTGCGACTAATAAAGCTTAACTATTAATATAAATTTATAAATTGATTTGTACAATAGACTAATGCTTGAATAGTAAATACAACTTTTGAAAAAAAGAAAGGTGAAACTGTAAATATAATAAGTACACGAGTACGATGGAAACTCGATTAAGAAAGAAAAAAAACAATAGTAGACTTCATGACTTCGCTTGACACCTCGATACTTACGATAGACTGACGTCATACCAAAAAAAAAGGAAACTGCAATGATTTGCTAAATTTTGGAAAAATAAAAAAAAATTATTAGAATTTCCACTATATCAAAGAATCCGATAACAAAGAATCCGTAGTTTCATGGCATTAAAATAGAATCGAAACTTAGTGTTTCTTTGATTAACTCTGTCGAATCTTGCACTTGCACAATTTTAAAGTGTTTTGTTTTCTGAAAACGTTTCGTTAGATATGAATCAAATTGTGAAAGAAACAAATTGATACGTAACAAGTGGTTGAACATGTAGGCCCGATGCTGTCTTAAACAAACATGATACCGTCACTTTCACGTGCGAAAAGACCAACGTATGATAAGAGAGTTTTTGTTTTAAGTTAATAGTACTTGTATCAATTTTGTAATTATTTTTACCTATCTATTTTGTTACAAAAGCAGTTTAGTTTAATTGAAAGCCTTGTAAATTATAATTACCGATATTGCAAAACATCTGATTTTTTTTTTTGCCTTTTTTACAAAGATAAAATGTAAGAGCGTAATGATAAAAATTATATAGCAACACTAATAATGTGAGGTTGAAGCTTATACGTTACACCAACGTAAAGTTAAACTTATTAAACTTATATTTCATTATCCTAAAGCCGACTGCATTTGAAAGCAATACAAAGCAAAGTTTTAGTCAGCTAAACCAAAAGCTGGTCGTAATAGTTCTAAGAGTAATTAGTCTCTTAAATAG